TTTTGAAAAGCCTGGGCCTGAGCCTGGACTCTGGGTTTGATTGACCTGGGCTGGATTCTTGGCCTATGGTTCAGGAAAAACTCAGGAAGATCAAAAAAATGCCTGGGCCTGGACTCTGGGTACAGGAAAACCCCAGGTTTTGGTCCAGAACCTCTCTACTCTCAATACGCTAGACTCTGAAGATTTTTGAAATTTAACTCGACAGGCCTTTTAAATTCAAAAATTTATTTTCCCAATTAATTATTTTTCCTTTTTCTTCCAAAACTTTTTTCATTGTTGTCTCGTTCATTGTTTTTATTTTTTCTCTCTCTCTCTCATTTTATTGCCATAAATTAATTATAATTTCTTGCGCAATACTTTCAAACAATTATTCTCGTTTTCTCATCATAATTTTTTAAAAAAGGTTTTTGATTTGTTTTTAAACGCAAAAAATTCAAAACTGCTTTTCTCACTATTGTCGGCCATTTCTCCGTTCCTCAAAAAATATTTTTAAGGGTATACGACATTTGCGAACACCGACATTTGTAAACTTTGTTTTTAAATTACTGTCAGACCTCGATATAAGGTATACCCAATATTGGATACACCTCGATCTAGTATACGTTCTGTAAAATTTATTAGGCCACTGGTTGGAAGAGACTATTAAGAGATGTCCTCTATTTAATAAACACCCCATTATAAAATACTCCCAATTTAAGATAACGCCATTATAAGATCCTTCTATTTAATAAACCCCATTATAAGATACCCTCTATTTAATAAACACCCCATTATAAGATACCCTCTATTTAATAAACACCCCATTATAAAATACCCTTTATTTAATAAACACCCCATTATAAGATACCTTCTATTTAAGATTGGTTGGCCACTGGTTCGGGAAGCCTTCTAAACGATATCCTCTATTTAAGATACACCTCATTATAAGGTATAATCTTTTAAATCCAAGGGGTATCTTAAAGGGCGTATATAAAATAGAGGTCTTTTCTTTTTTAATTTCGTGTCCACAAATGTCGTCTTTGCGCAAATGTCTTCAATCATATTTTCTTGCAGCAAGTTTAATTTTTTATATTTTGGCTTGGCTGCGGTAAAGGAGAGAAGAAACGTGCGTTTTGCGAATTTTACAACAAAAAGGGAAACAATAAAAAATAGCGGCTGAAAAAAGCGAACATTTATGTAAGACAAAAGAAAAAAGAGAACGTCCGAATTTAATTAATTAATTAAAAGTCTTCGCAAAAATAAAAATTTTTTATTTTTTTAAGAGAAAAATAATTCAATTAAATTAATTAATAAAAAATATAAATTATGGTTATTTCTGGCCCTCCACAATCACCACGTACTGGATTGGCACTGACAGACTTACAGCAAGTAATGATGGAATTTAGATAATTTAAAAAATATATCTTAAAATGAGGAGGACATCATGGGCTAGAAGGGAACTGGGAAGATCATGCCTTATAATGAGATGTATCTTAAATAGAGGGGTCTTATAATGAGGTGTTTATTAAATAGAGGGTATCTTATAATTAGGTGTATCTTATAATGAGCAGTATTTTGAATAGGGAGTGTCTTATAATGAGGGGTATCTTAAATAGAGAGGTATCCTATAATGAGGTGTCTATTAAATAGAGAGCATTGGTTAGTCAGCTTTCCCCACCTATGTACTACACCTCTATTTAAGATACGATTTTTAAAATTAAGTTGGCCATTGGATAGGAGAGCTTTCAAAGCGATACCTTCAATTTAATATACACCTCATTATAAGGAATGATATTTTCCAAGGATTACTCTATAAGGAAGTCAAATTTATAGAAAATTTTAAATTTTAAAAATCAAAAAAAATTTTTTTTTCAAGTCAACTTCTGGTTCATCAATAGATTCAAACACTCTAAACAGTAACAATGGAGGAAATGGAAATAATTTAAATGGTTCTTGTTCAATTAGTGGAGGCCTTATTTCTGGGTTAACTATTGCTAGTAATGGGTCTGGAAATTGGTAAATATTTGGAATTAAAAAATAATTCCTCATTTCCCTTCCTGTTTCGAAAAATGCTTAGGCAAATTATAAAATGACGAAAAAGCCATCTCACATAGGGGAGTCGGTCGGAAATATCGAAGATACCGGAAATCGGAGATTAAAAATAATTAAGAAGGGATTTAGGGGATTAACATAGATTGGAGAGTTGATTAATCGAGAACCGATCTTTGCATCTTATTAAAAATAGGAGTGCCAGACGCCCAAAAGTACCCCGTTCAATCCGAGCTTCTGAATTAATTCCTACTGGATTCTGGCCACCAGTTTCGGTCCAGCCCCAATATCGAATCCGGAAAAAAACTCCGGGTTTGACTATCATACTAGAAATATAGATGAACCAAGGATGTTACAGACCTTTTTCGGAAGGCGGAAGAGTCAAAAAATGACGTAACTCTGTAGAAACAGAAACGGAAGAATATAAGTTTTTACTCAAAATTTAAAAAAAAATTTTCCTTAAAATTTAAAATTAAATAAAGGTCAACTCGCGGTGTAGGAGGTATAGGTGCTGGTTTATCGTGTTCTTCTGCCTCCTCTTCACCTTTTCATGTTGGTGGGGGTTTATTTGGCGGAGATGTTGGTTTACAACTTGGTGGTGGTTTTGGGCAAATTAAGGTAGATTATAGAAGAAATATTTGGAACTTCAGTAAAAGCTTGTTATAAGATACCCCCAATACTAGATACACCTCTATTTAGGATAAGCTCATTATAAGGTACATTTTTTTGCTCGAAAGAATATTTTTAAGTAAAGCCCGACTAGACCATTCAGGTAGTAAGGCCACTCTATGGGAGAAGTCGACTAAGTGATAACCTCTATTTAATACACACCTCATTATAAAAGACTTGCTCCAAGGAGGTATTTATCTATTAAACTGTAGGCCGTTCATATAGTAAGGCCACTGGATCGTTTAAGCGATAACCTCTATTTAATAAACACCTCATTATAAGGGACATTTTTTCATGTGAGGGCTGACTCAGCGCCTATAAGTGAGGGCTGACAGCAGATCATTTAGATAGTAGAACATTTAATTATTTAAAAAATAATTTTAAAGGGTGGTGGTTCTAGTGGAGGTGGCGGTCTTTTTAATAATTGTGGTTGTTCTTCATCTGATTATGGACTTTTCAAAAAATAAGAGAATGAGAAAATATTTTTTGGTGTTGTTTTGAAGAATACTTATAAAATAAATGTAAGTTGTCAAACTAGAAATAATTTGGCTTTAACGCAAATAGAGGGGCTTTCTTTTGCGGATTTTATTTGATGGGATTTTTGCGGACAAATTTTTCAAAATTAACTTGGCGACATTTTTTCACACTTTTCATATATTTGCAGAATTTTTGTGGACTTTTTAGAGGACGTTTTTTGTAGAAATTTTTTATGGAAATTTTGCGGCATTTTTTGCGAACATTTTTCGTAAATATTATTTGCGAACTTTATTTGCGGATATATTTTTGAGAGCACTTTTTAAGGACTTTTTTGCGGATATCTTTTGCAGACTTTTTTGCTAACATATTTTTGCGGACATTTGTTGCGCACTTTTTTACTGACGTAATTTAAAGTTGTTGAGAACTTTTTTTGCGGACATATTTTGAGAATATTTTTTACAGACTTCTTTTAAATACAAAATGCGCTGTTATTAAAATATACAAAATCCGCAAAACTCTTTTTGCGGACATATTTACAATATTGCAAACAATTTAATTCTTACAAACATTTTAGATATCTTGCAATTACAAAAATATTTGCCTATTTGTATTTTTATTTGATGATTTTGTTGGCAAGTGAATATACAACAACGATGAGATATTATTGTTTTTTTCAGTCTTTCAAAAAAAATATATTTTAATTATGTACCTAATATATTTAATCCCAGTTTTTTTATTTTAAATTTTAATTATCTTATTAAATATTTTTTTATTTTATAAAGGAAAATGAACAATTAAATTTTTAATTAAATTAGAAATTTACTGAAAATTAAAAATTTAAGTATGCATGTTTTTTAATATCTTTTATAATAGAAAAAATAATATATGTAAATATAATATACAATATTGCTTAATTGGGAAAAGTATTAGGAAAACACATTTTAATATTCATCCAGTAAGAATGCCTGGGTAATTGGATGTTTATAGGCAGAAAATTTTTCAGAACTTAATTTTAATATTATCAACTTTCTCCTTTATAAAATTAAATTATTATTTAAATAATCTTCGAATAAAGAAAAGGGGAAAAATACTCATAAAATACAAATTTAAAAAAAACAGATTATAAACACTCAATCAAAAGTTAATGCAACTTCACGATTACCTTCTGTTAAAAACACTCGTGGAAGATTTCGACGTTCCTCCGCAAGTACTTTTTGTGTTTCGACTACTCCTTTCTTTGTGCTGCTGTTCTTCTCATTGTTTCAAACTGCTGAAGCAAGTGAATTTGTTAAAGGATTCGGACTTGGCAGTATTTCAACAATTATTCTTTTTGCCGTTGCGTGTTTCTTATTATATTCTTCTTCAAACAAAAATACTATCCAAATGGTTTTTTGCGGCATTTTATAGAAAGGTTTTTTATTTTTCATAATTTAGAATTATATTTTGAGTAAAATCGGGATTATATCACTTTTTCCCCTTCTCAAAATTTCCTTATGGTTTGGACTGATTATTTTTTGCTATATTAGGGCTTGATTAATTCCACATTTATTTAGGTTGAAAATCATGCATCATTGGTTGAATTATCTTTTGAATGGCTTAAAAATTTGTTGGGAATTATGCTTTCATCAGCTTATGGAGCGTTTAGCGGTTATCAAAATTCTTGGAATGTTGGAAATGACACAAACAAAAATGTTTTGTAAAAATTGCTTTTTTTAACATCTTTTACAAAAATAATTAAAAAATCCCCTTAATTAAAGAGAAATTGGTACCAAAATTGTTAAGACCAAAATTGTTTAAGAAATTGGTCTTAACAATTTTGGTACCAATTAAACGCCATAATGAAAAAGCCAAGAAATACATTCGGCTCTAAGTCTTGGCAAAGAATCCATACAAAAAAGGCCAAAATGTAAAACAGCACCCGGAGCTGCAAACCAAGGTGAATTCTTTAAAAGAGAAAATATATATAAAAAATTTCAAGGTAATAATAAGACCTGTTGCTTGTCTTCAGCATAAATTTCCTCAAATGATGGCTTTGTTGGAGCCCAAACAAATTTTGGTTGTTGGGAAGCAGTAAACGAAGTTGCATTTTTGGATGCTTTTTGTTTGCTAAGACATCCCTTCTTCAAAGTCGATTGTTGTTGATCCAATTGTGTTGTAACAGGCGGTTGAAGAACTCCAGAAACTGCCAAAGAGACTTTTACAAGAAAATCGAACATTGTCTAAAATTAAAAAAAAATCGAATAAATAAAAATCTCAATCAAAACCTCATCAAAAATAAATCCAGAAAGTCCATATTCTCTCGACAATTTGCTGTGTAAACTACCAATAAGTGTCAACACTTCAATGCATTTTTGTTTAACTGCAGAATCTGCCAACTGAGGAAATTTGGCAGAAAGACGAGTGATAGCGTTTCTAAAAAGTTAAATTTTATACGGAAACTTTTTTGCTAAGACAGTAGGCAATCCCTGTGGAATTTTTAACTATATCTATTTCTAAAATCGTTTCAGGTCGATAGAACATTTTAGGCAAGTAATTTCAAAGGAAATTAGGCAATAAACATAAGAGAAATGGCGAGAAGCCCTCAGCAAATCGCTTGGTCCTCCTAAGGTTTTTAGATATTCAAGAGTCAGTAACTTGGCCCCTGATTGTAGGCCGTGATTCCCCTGCTAGTTTGAATCAGTTTTCAAGGATCTTTCGAAGGATCTTTCGAAGCCTCGGGAACAAAAAACATATAACCCAGGTACCCTGAACAGGTAGTAAAAACCCAATGTCACTACCAAAACTTGAAAACAATTAAAGTGGAGAAGCGGTGGAAAGGGCAACCCAAAGTACCCAAAAATATACCGTGTAAGCTTTTGAAGCTCAGAAGAGTACACATTAGACTTCCATTCCTCTAAAATCCAAGTGTCCCAAGCACTGTGTTGACTGCCAATTCTCTGTCCTTCAGTTACTGGCTTTCCATCAACATCTTTAAGTCCATTTATAGCAACTCTGCGAAGTCCTTTACCCGCTCGGGTGTCAATTGTCAAAATTAAACGTTGAATATAGATAATCATTTTACGTCTAAACTTATATTAAAGTCAAAACAAACTGCCCTAAAACAGGAGAACGGAAAGAAGGGTACGGTAAAAGGAGAATAAAATGAGCACAATGCCAAAGGACACCCGTTTTAAAAGTTCCCAAAAAATTATGAGTAAAATTGACATTTTTATAAAATGGTAAAATTATGAAAAGCAAGTGCTTTTATAGTAAAAGACAAAGGGAAATATAATTTACAATTCAGAGTAAGCCATTAGAGTGCCAAAATTAGAGTGTCGGAATGTATTGATAGACTATAACTCTTCTTATCCTTGATCCAATATAAATAAGACTTATATCATTCGAAAGCTCTCGATAAGTTGTATCTTTTTTCCAACTAGATGGATCAAGTCTGTTCAGTAAATAAAAAGTTATAACCCGATAAATGTAAAAAACACTAAATAATTGCACTTATATGATTGTAACTTTTTAATGAGTGATCAGACTTGGTCCATCCAATTGGGAAAAAGATAGCGCTTATCGAGAGCTTTCGAATGATATAAAATTTATTCAAAATAGATCAAACTTATAAAAAGTTAAGGCCGAACAAAGCTGGCTGCACTCAAATTTTGGCACTCTAATGGCTAAAATAATTGTAATTAATATTCTGGAAACTTTTCGTTTTGCAAACTTTACTATGGGAATGTCATAGTGTCAACAAATAAAAGTACAAAAGCTTCAATTTTTCAGTGCTGCAGGCGAAGAAATAAATAATTTTTTTTTAATTTTTTTAAATTTTTTGCTTCCGATCAACAATAAGGACTTTTAGCGTTTTGGGGAGCCAAAAAGGGAAACGCCAAACTCATAACTTAAAAGGAGTAAAAACACGAGTACTTATTTTTCCCCTCCCAATAAGTCTCCCTTAATTTTGTACATAATTGACAGACTTCTCTCCTCTTCTTCATTCCAGTCCATTTTCCTTGTCCATTCTTGTTCACCTGACAAGCTAGACCATTTGTACATTTTAATAAAAGAGATTTACTGGGTGGGCGGCCAAATAAGTACCAATACGCCACGTCAGAACGTCATATCGGAACGTTTTGTTGATTGACACGTTTCTTTACTTTTTATGTTTTCGGATTTTTGACATGAAAAATCACTTAAATTTTAAGCAATTCATTTTGAATTATTTTTAATTTTTAGATTTTAAAAAAGATTAAATAAAAATGTTTTCAACAATTACTGGTCTAGCAGAAAATGCAGCATTTAGAACTTTGGCTGATCAATCTAGAGAAGTAAATATGATGCAAGAATTCAACTCTGATCCAAAACGTGCAGAAAAGTTTACTTTAAAGTTGTTGAATTCAAATGGAGGTCTTCAACTTTATTTTGATTTTTCAAAAAATATAATTGATGATTCAAAGTTTAAACAGCTCATTGATATTGTGGGTATATTTTTTGATTTATGGGGTAGGGAAGACACCCTCTAGATTACACTCTAAATGCCTATTGACCTTGAAGACCTACAACTTTTGGATGGGGACATAGAGGGATCTTGTGTGATTGAAGGAGATATAGATCTTTACTCACCCATCGTTTTTTATACACTCACAATACCGCCCATATGTTATAAATACAGAACTGGGTACTTATCTCCATAAAGCTGGATATTTGTCCCTCTTAATCCTGCGATATTTCTTCTCAAAATTTGTAGATCTTCAAGGTCAATAAGCTTCTGTGGTTAAGTCGTAAGAGGTTCGACCCCGTGGACATTGTTTTCCCTTTTCAAAAAGATCAATTAAGTTACAATTATGGCTTTTCGAAATGTCTAGTTTTTCCATGGTTTCGGAATTTCATTTCGCGGTTTCTTAAACTAGTTTCTGGAAGCTTCAGCTGGAAACCTTTATACTCCCAATATTCCGCAGGATTTATCCGCATGTCTTTTTTATCAATAAAGACTTAGGTATCGGAGAAGGGAAATGAGAGGATTATTTTGGTGAGTAAACTCAGCAATCCTTTCTATTGTAATCAACTTTTCGATCTTTGTATTGTGTCCTTGTGCATGTACATAGGTTTTTTCAGAAATAGCCGATAAAATAGTATTCTGCGGATAAAACTTGCGTACTTTTGCGGAGATAAATTAGGATAACGCATTTTTATTCGATGCCTCTTTTGATTTTTTAATCTTTAGGCTCGTCAAGCTAATGTAGAACAATGGCGTGACAAAATGTTTTCTGGTGAACATATTAATTTCACAGAAGGCCGTTCTGTTCTACACGTTGCATTGCGAAATAGAGAAAATAAACCGATTTTGGTTGATGGAAAAGATGTAAAAAGTTTATATTTATTTTAAGAGTATTTGTAAAGGTTTTCGCTTTTACGGACAAGTTTTGTGGATTATTCTTCACCTTTTACTTGATTCTTTTTCGATATACAAAATTATCAGATAGTTCTGGGAATTCTATTTTACGTAAATAATGCCGATTTCGTCCATTTTGGACCACGGGAAATATGGAGAAAAGTCCGCAAAAAATAATCCGACGACAGTTTTTGACCCGAAAAATTAGTTCGGCCCCTCTATGATTTTTTAAGTTTTGGAAACCTCTATTTCGGTCCATAGTCATTTCTCAACTGGCATTGAATATATCGACCCATTTTGGGCAAGTCCCTGGTCTTTACAAGTATCCAATTTTAGATAATCTGAAAAATAATTTTTTAATTTTTAAAGGTAATGCCTGATGTTAATGCTGTTCTTAAACATATGAAAGAATTTTGTGATCAAGTAATTAGTGGCCAATGGACTGGTTATACTGGTGAAAAAATTACGGATGTTGTTAATATTGGAATTGGTGGTTCTGATTTGGTATATATTTTTTAATTAAATTAGATTGAATTTTAAATTCACTTCGAGCCACCCTAGGAAATGAGCCTAAAATCCCCTGGGGCAGCTATAGCTAAAGATTTGTCTTTCTGTCGAAAATTTTCTTTCGTTCTATCGTATTGACAATTCTCTCGTTATCCCTTTTTGACACACATTTACTCATTTTATTCGACATTCAAAGTCATAAGGAAAAGCCCATAAAAACTAGATTCAGCGGAAGACGGATCTTCATTAAATACTTATTAATTATCCTACCCCCTTTTTTGTCTTGTAACCCAAACCATTTTATCATATTTTTTAGGGCCCTTTAATGGTCACTGAAGCTCTCAAATATTATCAAAAAGGCCCAAATGTGCATTTTGTTTCTAATATTGATGGAACTCATTTGGCTGAGGTTTAAATTAATTTTTATTGTTAGCGTAAAAAAATTTTTTTAGGTTCTTAAAAAAGTCAATCCAGCAACCGTTCTTTTCATTATTGCTTCAAAAACGTTTACAACACAGGAGACAATTACAAATGCGGAATCTGCTCGTGAATGGTTTTTAGATTTTTTTTAATTTTTTCAATTTAAAATGCTTAAAGGTTTGTGACGAAAGCAGGTGATGCTAAACATGTTGCCAAACATTTTGTTGCGCTTTCTACAAATGCAACTAAAGTCAAGGAATTTGGTATACTTTTTAGCTTTTTGTTCCTTGAGTCTAAAAATCACTTAAATATTTTGGTATTTTGAGCAATATAAGTTCACTTTCGTTCTCCGAGTGTTTTGAAGTTTACTACGCCTTTTAAAAGGCTTGATTAGGGTTGTCTGTTATTGAAACATTTTCGGAACCAAACCGAAAAATCCTCTTTTCTTCAGTTCGAACCAACGAACCTGGGCGGATTCTTCCTTTATCCTTATCTTATTGAAACTACAAGAATATGAAGATAGTTCAAGCTATCCAGCCTATTTATTTTAAGGTATTTCTGAAGAGAATATGTTTGAATTTTGGGATTGGGTTGGTGGTCGTTACTCTCTTTGGTCTGCAATTGGTCTTTCAATTGCTGTTCACATTGGATTTGAAAATTTTGAACAATTGCTTGACGGTGCTTTTCTAGTTGATAAACATTTTTGCCAAACACCGCTCGAATCTAATGTATATTTTTTTATTATTATTTTTGATAGATGGGGTTGTCGAGTAAGATCCAAATGTTTTTGTTTTCGGCTTTAAATTAACTGTCATTCATTCCTAGTAAAGCTAATGTTTGGTACGAGTTTGAGGCCAGATCTAGGAATGGTATGAATCAGGGATTCATTTGTTGACATGAGAAAAGCCTGGCTTAGTTTTAGAAATCTTCGGATTGTGTTTCATGTTGAAAGTCGGGTTTTTGAATAACCTGTAACATTCCTGGTACGGTGTACAAAACGAATACCCATGACATCCCTGTTACGGTGTACGAGAATAAGTACGAGACAAATTCAGTTTCAATGTATATTTCCGGATATTTGAAGATTTTTAGAGTCGACAACCCTATTAAAGTATCCTTACAATTAATATACTTTAAAAAAATTATAGATTCCTGTAGTTCTGGCTGTTTTGGGCATTCTCTATATAAATTTACATAAAGCTGAAACACTTGCTTTATTGCCCTATGATCAATATATGCATCGCTTTGCTGCCTATTTCCAACAAGGAGATATGGAAAGTAATGGAAAAAGTGTTTTGAGGTTTTTTTCGATTTTTAAAGAAAAAATTTAAAAAATTTTTTTAAAGAAATGGCTCTGGAACTTTGTTACAAACAGGACCAATTGTTTGGGGAGAACCTGGAACTAATGGACAACACGCCTTTTATCAATTAATCCATCAAGGAAAGCATCTAATCCCCTGCGATTTTATTGCGCCAATTCAAAGTTTGAATCCGATTAGTGGAGGTCTTCACCATACGGTTCCTTTAATTAATATTTTGGATATAAATTTTGGGTTAAGGTTTACTTTTGAGTGGATCTATTAATTCTAGAACATCCCGTAAGCAGGGATTTCGATATTTCTGAAAATTTTGTCGCTTTTTTTATTTTTAATGAAGTTGTCTTACATTAATTTGTAAGCGAGAATATTAAGTATAAGGTTTCGAAAAAGATTTTTGTATTAAAATTTTATTGGCTTACAATGAGTCCTTTTTGAGTAAGGCTTGTATGTAGGTACAAGGGATCATCCCGAACTATAACAGAAATGGATTGCTCGTTTCCTCTTGCCATTTTTTGGCTTTTTGGTTACGAAATATAAAAAATTTCTCAATCAAATATTTTTCTGTTTCGTTTCACAGATTTTACTTGCCAATTTTTTGGCACAAACTGAAGCTTTAATGAAAGGCAAATCCTCTGAAGAAGTAGAAAGTGAGCTTAAACAATCTGGAATGGACGAAACAAAAATTAAAGAAATTTTGCCACACAAGGTTTTTTTAAATTAAATTTATATAAATTAAAAAAATTTTATTTTAAAGGTTTTTGAAGGCAATCGACCTACAAACACTTTACTTTTGCCTAAAATTACTCCAAATACATTGGGCTCTTTAATTGCAATATATGAACATAAAATTTTTGTTCAAGGAATTATTTGGGGAATTAATTCTTTTGATCAATGGGGGTTTGTTTTTGTATATTTTATATCAATTTTTGACTTTAATAAGTTACTCTTCTTTTTTCTCTCCCCAATTTCTTCTTACTTTTTGGCAGCCAAATTAAAATTTTATTCAACCCTTTCACGATTAGGGTTATTGATTCTTGGGAAATCTTAGGTCCGAAACCGTGGCTTCGTTTGGAATCGAACCGACCTAAAGCTCGACGATTTTTTTATTCCAATAATTAGTATTCATTCTGATCAATTTGGTTGTCGATAAGTGATGATAGGGAGAACAGAAAAAAGATCAACTTGAAAATTCAAAATTAATCAATTTTCAAAAAAAAATTTTTTTAATTTTTAAAGTGTTGAATTAGGCAAACAATTGGCTAAAGTAATCCAGTCAGAATTACAAAAAGAAGATAACGAACCAATAACTACACATGACTCTAGCACTAATGCTTTAATTAATTTAATTAAAAATTACAAGGATTGAAGAAGAAAAGGAGGAAGAAAAAATTTTATAGGAAGCAATATGAAAAATAAGTTTAAAAAATTATTTAAAATTAGATTTTAGTTAATATTTTGATGAGGGGAGAACATTCAACTGTCAACAAAAAAGTTATTATTTTTCGGTAGAGTTAAAATTAGATTTTAGTTAATATTTTGATGAGGGGAGAACATTCAACTGTCAACAAAAAAGTTATTATTTTTCGGTAGAGTTCAATAGAGAACCCCTAAACTTTTTATGACACGAGATGAGCCTACGGTTGAGGGGTCTTATATCGAATAATATTTAAAAAAAGTTTTTGTTGGCAGTAAATGTTGTTCTTTTCTAGATATTTTTAGCTTTTTCAACTAATGGAGAACAAATCTTTGGCATACTTGATTGTGTGGGAGTTGGAGTTTTTTCTCATCGTGTTTCTTCTTTTATCAAATTTTGAGCTTCTGATGATTTTCAGTATTTGTGTTTAATTGCAACTAATTATCGCGAGTTTTCAAGCAAAATGCGTGAAAATTAAATAGCGCCAAAATTATGTAGGGACAGGCAAAGGATTGGCAGTAGAGGCAGGCAAAGGGTCGGCAGGTAAAGGCAGGCAAAGATTGGGGGTTGGCCGTAATGGCAGGCAAGTCTGCGGGTAAAGGTAATATTGGAGGGGAGGGAATACTTCATCGAATTTATCATGAAAAAAATTTCTGAAAATCGCTGGCATTGCTATTTTTTCCTCCTCAGGCAATTCATCATATTGCTTCTTCATATCAGAGGGCAAGAGGATTTTAGTATAACCAACACTAAGTGCCGCTTTGATTTTATGTTTGAGCCCTCTGACACCAATCATAAGACCACCGCCACGGATCTGTAGTTTTCATGAGCAGGCAAGAGGATTTTGGTCATACCAACACTGTTGGTTGGTTGATGTTAGAGGGCTGAAACAAAAAGCCTGCTCAGCCAAAATAGGCTGAGGAGGCAAAGCAGGCTGAGTAGGCAAAATAAGCTGATCAGCCAAAATGGGCAAAATGGTCTGATTAGTAAGAACAGTTGAAGCAGGCGGAAAGACTTTATCGAATATATCATGAAAATATTCGCCAAATATTCCATCAATTCCCATTTTTTCTGCATCAGACAATTGTTCAAACTGGGTTTTCATCTGCATTGGCAAGAGAATAGTCTTCATTCCTATACTTTTTGCGGCTTGAATTTTAAGTTTAAGCCCTCTAATTGGAACCATTAATCCAGAAGACCGGATTTCACCTATAGCGCACAACCCTAAAATGGGAAAATTTTTTTAAATAAACAGAATTTGGTTGGAGTGGAGTTTCCTTCGTTGGCATGTGGCCAACATTAAAAATAATCTTATAAAAAATTTATTTAAATTTAGACTACTCTCTACGAGCAATTCCAACCAAATTCTGTTTATTTAAAAAAATTTTCCCATTTTAGGGTTGTGCGCTATAGGTGAAATCCGGTCTTCTGGATTAATGGTTCCAATTAGAGGGCTTAAACTTAAAATTCAAGCCGCAAAAAGTATAGGAATGAAGACTATTCTCTTGCCAATGCAGATGAAAACCCAGTTTGAACAATTGTCTGATGCAGAAAAAATGGGAATTGATGGAATATTTGGCGAATATTTTCATGATATATTCGATAAAGTCTTTCCGCCTGCTTCAACTGTTCTTACTAATCAGACCATTTTGCCCATTTTGGCTGATCAGCTTATTTTGCCTACTCAGCCTGCTTTGCCTCCTCAGCCTATTTTGGCTGAGCAGGCTTTTTGTTTCAGCCCTCTAACATCAACCAACCAACAGTGTTGGTATGACCAAAATCCTCTTGCCTGCTCATGAAAACTACAGATCCGTGGCGGTGGTCTTATGATTGGTGTCAGAGGGCTCAAACATAAAATCAAAGCGGCACTTAGTGTTGGTTATACTAAAATCCTCTTGCCCTCTGATATGAAGAAGCAATATGATGAATTGCCTGAGGAGGAAAAAATAGCAATGCCAGCGATTTTCAGAAATTTTTTTCATGATAAATTCGATGAAGTATTCCCTCCCCTCCAATATTACCTTTACCCGCAGACTTGCCTGCCATTACGGCCAACCCCCAATCTTTGCCTGCCTTTACCTGCCGACCCTTTGCCTGCCTCTACTGCCAATCCTTTGCCTGTCCCTACATAATTTTGGCGCTATTTAATTTTCACGCATTTTGCTTGAAAACTCGCGATAATTAGTTGCAATTAAACACAAATACTGAAAATCATCAGAAGCTCAAAATTTGATAAAAGAAGAAACACGATGAGAAAAAACTCCAACTCCCACACAATCAAGTATGCCAAAGATTCGTCCTCCATTAGTTGAAAAAGCTAAAAATATCTAGAAAAGAACAACATTTACTGCCAACAAAAACTTTTGTTTTTAAATAATTTTGATTTTTTTGTCAAACGAAAAAATTTTGTTAACAGTTAAATGTTGTTTCTCTTTTTAGCTTTACTTAAAAACACATTAAAAATATATTTTAAAAATATTTATTAGTTAGACTGGTATTTTTCTAAAATAAACTTTATTTTTTTATTAAATTTTTTGAAACAAATTATTGTTAATTAAAACGAATAAAATTTTCCTTATTTTTTCTTAAAAGTTGTCTATGCTTTTTAATATCTCAAATTTTATTCAAAAAATATTTTTTTAGCAATTTTAATTTAAACGAACTAAAAATTCTTTTGAAATGGCTGGTGTTGCTTTACGTCGATTAATGACAGAATATAGACGTGAGTGAATAAATATTATTATTATGATAAAAGGTTTAATTTAGAATTTTTGATTTTTCTGGATGTTATATTGTAGACTTATGTCGATTACAGAGATCGATATCTCGCAAAATCTGCGAGAGATCTCTCCAAGTCGAGATTTTTTTCGAGTTCTTGCCTTGGTCCAATCGACGGGCACTTTTGACCTTGATCCCCCTCTTCTTACATACGTTTTCTGGATATATTTTCTACATTGGGTAATGTAACAGTGAGTGATAGTCCATTCGAACAAGCTGATTCGAATAGTACAGAAATTGGTAACCTAGGGTGAATTTTGGAAAAAGTTATGACTTCCTAACCGGGACAGAGGGAATTAAAATTAATTTCATACCCAAGTTTTGTTAAAATTAGCGATAAAAACACAAATTTTCTCTAAAAATTTAAAATCCTTTTATATTTCAGAATTAGTTCAAAACCCAACAGAAGGAATTGTAGCCGGACCAAAGGACGAGGAAAACTTTTTTGAATGGCATTGCCTAATTGCTGGGCCAGTAGGGACTTGTTTTGAACATGGACTGTTTCCGGCAAAGCTGACATTTTCTGAGGTTTTTTTTGTATTTTTGAGATGATTTATTGTTTAAACAATTTTGAAGGACTACCCTTTAAGCCCGCCAAAGATGCAATTTTTGTGTGATATCTTCCATCCAAATATTTATCCAGATGGGAGAGTTTGTATCAGGTCTGTTTTGTAGATTATTTAGTTAATTTTCCGTCTTTAATTTTTTTTCGTCTCCGGAACGGTCATTAATTTTCGAATGGTAGGCTTTCCTTTGGGTTTATTTTCTGTCTTTGGTAGTAAATCAACCGATAAATCAGTATTACTTTTTTTTATAAAAAGGGCCCTATGAACCAAAAATTTTTGGTCACTAGTCAAGACTAGGTGGGGGCGGATTCAGATCCGAAGAAATTCCGTATATTCGAAATTGGTTGGATATCATTTCCTGATCCGTGTATTTTCCTGAATCCGCTAACCCTGGTCAAGGGTAACCTGTTTAAATTTGATAGTTAGGTTATAAGACCCTTAAGTTTTAAATTTTGAGGCTACCAAAAGTTTAGGTGAACATTTTAATGATACATATTTTAATCTTTTTGCGTCATCTTGACATACATAAATATTTTTATTTTTCAGTATTTTGCACACTCCTGGAGGTAATAAATTTTCTTTAAAAATTATCTGCTCAAAATTTTTTCTTCAAAGATGATCCAACAGGATATGAGACTTCTGCAGAGCGATGGTCTCCAGTCCAATCAGTCGAAAAAATACTAATTTCCGTTGTTTCTATGCTTGCTGGTTTATTTGATTTTTTTTGAAAAATTTCATTAAATTTTAGAACCAAACGATGAAAGCGCCGCAAATGTGAATGCTGCAAAAATGTGGAGAGAAGACAGGGAACAATTTGAATTGACTGCCAATAAATTGGTTAGAAGTACGCTTGGCTTTCCTATTAATCAACAACAACAAAAGGTTTTGGAAGCGTCAATATCTTCTTAAAAAGGAATTTTTTCGGTTTAATTGAAATTAAATTTTTTGAATTTTTTTGTCAAAATTTTTTTGAAAAATTTTTCTTATTAGATGATATTAAAAGGATAAAGAAAAGATACATGTTTCGGCTCTATCTTAGGACATGCGTCCCATGAACTTTTATGCGTCCCATGAATGTTTATGCGTCCCATGGAGGTTTATGCGTCCCAAAAATAGTATATGCGTCCCATGAAAGTATATGCGTCCCAAAAATAGTATATGCGTCCTATGAAAGCTGCCACGACTCAAGAATTTATATGCGTCCTAAAATTAATATAAGCGAAAGAGAATTTTGTAAACTTATTTTGCCCAGCCATCGCTAATGATGGTTCAACATTTTCAGTATTTACATATCGCAAATGTTCAAATAAATGGTCCATCTGTATTAAAAGCAATCAAGAAGGACCCTTTGAAAAATATAAACCAAGGCCTCATTTTAAGTAAATTTGTAAAACGTAGTTGTAAATTACCAGCAAAATTATTAGCTCCAAGTTCAAGGACTAATATTTAATTGTCATTAATAAAATTAAAAAATGTTTTCGCAATTGTTTTACGCTTATATTAATTTTGGGACGCATATATTTTGAAGGGACGCTTATACTATTTTTGGAACGCATATACTTTCATGGGACGCATAAACTTTCATGGGACGCATAAAAGTTCATGGGACGCATGTCCTAAGATAGAGCCCATGTTTCTTTCCACCCCCGGGACAGGCCACTATTTATTAATGTATTTTTGTGATTTCAAAAAGTGGGGAAGTGAGATTTAAGACAGTTAGAAACTGAAAGATCCTCATTTTAGGCGATGATTTTTGCCATTTCGTAATTTCAAAAAGTGGGAAAATAGGATCCAATTGTAATATAGAATCTGAAAAATCCTCATTTTGGGGCGAGGACCTTGGACAAATTTCTGACCTTTAATCAGGAAATCCTGAAAAAATGGTTTGATAGAATCTGAGAGAATTTAAGAATTAACAATTTTAGAAATTTGGAAAAAAAACTTCAAAGAATTTGGAAATTTTTTGAAAAAAGGCCGAAAATTTTTTTGTCGTTCAATCTTCTTTAAAATCACACATTTTTATTTATATGCAGAATTTATACATTTCTTTCACAAAAGCGTTAATAAAATCTCTAACTCGACGATCGTTCACTAGTCTATTATTGTGACTACGTAGCAAATGGGAGTCGGTTGGAGGTGTTAGAAATAGGAGAACTACTAAATATTGAAACACAGAAATTTTTGAAAGTCGGAATTCAGAAATCATACGCAATTTTTCTCTTCGTTTTTAAACTAAACGATCGTCTTTTTTTAAAGAAAAGAAAAAATTTTTTTAACCAAATAATATTTTAAAAAAAAACTTTCATAACGTCCACTGTCAATTTAACGACTTCGAGTATATTTGCCCCACATGTGAAGAATAAATACGCTGGCAATGAATACAAGTGACATGACTAGAACGGGAACAGGTCCACTGAAAAAATTGGAGGGAATTTTTTAAAGAAAAATTTAAAATTCAAACATTTTCAATCCAGTAGAGTCCTCAGTGTAAAAACGCCAAAGTCCACCACTATTTGGCCCTCCAGCTGTTGTGCGAGCTCGTGAATTTGTAGTTGTTCCTCCACGACTGAAATATTGCGAATAAAGATAAGATTTTTAAAAAGTCTGGGCTTGGACTGTTAAAAATCGGTCAGGACAAGAAACCGGAGTTTTTCTTGTATCCAGAGTCTGATCAATAAGCGATACCCAATAAGGGAAAACCCGGTAATAGTTTAGAATTCGCCCCCCTTTTCCTTTCTATTTTTTTCCTAGTTTCCCTCGACGATCGTTCACTAGTTTATTATCAAAAGGCTCAAAATGGTCAGGGAAACGAGAAAAAAGGGGTCTTGAATTTGGTTGCCCTCGAGTCTTGGTTTTGGTTGAGGGCTTTAACCAGATTCCTGAGCATCAGAAGGTATACGTAAAATAAGGCTCGATTGTATTCTAACCCATTGCCTTGGCAAGAGTCAAATCAGGAGCCAAGTAAACCCCAAGAACATGCCCAGACTCGGATTCTGGTTACTATGAGCGTAGCTTCTCGTCCTGTTCCCTTCCAGATAATTTGTTCTATTTAAAAATTATACCGTTGGCGAACAACACCAGCAGCAGAACGGGGCACAACTTTACCGCCTCCTGGAGTTTTTGTAGTTTCTGCCTAAATTTTAAGAATTTAACGAAAAAATTAAATTAAAAAAATATACCATTTTATCCAAGAATTTTTAATTAATTGAAGGTTTTGAATAATTTAGAAATAAAAAATAATCTAAAAAATTTGGGTATTAAATTACAAATTTAATTTAAAAATTTTAAAGGAAATCCAAAAATTAAGCGAGAAAGATAAGAGAAAGAAAAATCGAAGAGAGAAAACTGCAAATAAACTGCAGAGAATATCGTTTCGAAATAAAATTTGAATTTTTCAAAACATCAACTTTCAAATCGCCCATAGGGGAAGATATTTACAAATAGTCATCCCAGCCGGAAATGAGTGAATTAATTTTTTAATCAGTGAAAAGACTTGATCCATTCATTTAGTTAGAGAAGAGATTCTATTTATTTAAGACTTTCGAACGAGACAAGATCTATTCATATTGGAAAAAACAAAAAAAAAGTTTTAGTTGGTCAAAGTTGTCTGGAACTAATTGACCACAACAGATTAACACAATTCAAGATCTTAGGAAATCAACTATGAGTTGAAAATGGAAGTAGCTAAGTGTTGAAACTTGAAAACTTTAGAAATACCGTATTTATTCTAATAGAGTGGCCGCCACTCTATTTTTCGATACCCCCAAAAAGGGGCTATTCTATTGGAGGGGCCATTCTAATGGAGGTGGCCATTCTATTTTTCATAGGTAAAAATCAGAGATAGGATGAATCAAATGTTCGATCGAATATTTTTTGACTTCGAAATTTAATCGATTTTTCGTGTAAAATTCTATATTTTCGACTTTGGTTAGTGAATCTTTCTTTTCGTAACACTATAAAACATAAAAATCTTTTGCCTGCTGGGCAAAAAGGCAACTTTTTATTTACTTTGGTGCCAGACAATCAAAATTTCCGGTATAGTTTGCTCATAAAAGTTCGTGGGATCTCGGAATTTGGACGTAATATATGGGAATTGGGAGAGATTTGGAGGGATATTGATTAGTAATTAAAATTCTAAACTACCAAAAATTCCAAAATTTTCGTATGTCTTCAAGCGTCCTGAAATATCCAGAATTTTATCCCAAATCTCAATCAATCCATCATTATTCCTCAAAATCCTATGTCCCTGCAAATCCCCTGATAAAATAAATGTATCCAACTAAGGTTGTCGGATAGTTGGAAATCTTCGGATATCCGGATCCAATATCCGAACCGGATCCGACAACCTTATATCCAACTTCCTTATATCGTCAAATTCATAAATATCTATTAATTCTCTTAATCCCATGCATCTTCATTAAATCGTTGTAATTTCTTGATATCCCTCCTAATCCTCTCAAATCCCCTAATATCCCTCTTAATCTCCCTTTTATGACTCCAGATTTGCTCGAAAATATTATGATTATCCTTACTAAAGAGTAATATTTAATACATAATAGGAAAATAAAGAAATGTATTCAGGCATATACTTATTAGTTAAAAGGGCCATTCTATTAGAGGGCCATTCTAATGGAGGTGGCCATTCTATTTTTCATTACCCCCAAAAAGGGGCCATTCTATTGGAGGGGCCATTCTAATGGAGGGGCCATTTTATTAGAATAAATACGGTAACTCGAAAATTTCAAAAAAAATTTTTAATCGGAGGAAAACGTCGAAAATACGAATTTATACCCGCACACCTTGAAGAGAAGATACTATAATTGTACCAAGCACATAAACTACTGCATATTTAATTACTAAGGCTGTGCAGTAGACGGCGTGTAGTAATTGCTAACACATCAGGCAGGTCTGCTGAGGATACTGGTGTTTCACTCCCAGTTGCCGAATAACCTTTTGCACTAGCTGAAGGAAAGCACTAGCTGGAAGCTCTGCTTTGCCATCGTTAGAACGACAAAAAGGAATTGATTCAACAACCATTCAAAAACTAGGAAGCTTTTTCTTCTTCTACAAATTCAATACTAATTTTTATTTTAAAACCACAAAAAGAAAACAATTTTACATTAAAATATATAACCTATAAAATAACTCAAAATTTATTTTTCTTCCCACTCTTCTCCTTTAGAACATCCAACTCTCTCTTTTCAATTTATTCAGATTCTTCCATATATCGGTATTTAATGTCCTTCCACTGCTTTCCTAAAAAAGAAAAATAAAATTTTTCCAAAATTCTTCCTAAAAGGCTCAAAATGGTCAGACTAAGAATAGAAACGTTTAAAAAATTTAAAATTAATTTACCATAATTTTTGTAATCCCAAATGAATTGTCCAAATTTGTTGATCTAAAAAATATTTTTTAATTAAAATAATTTATTAAATTCGGTCCAGACTAGAGATAAAGATTTTTGAAAAACAAAAACCTGAACCTGTTCCTGGACTCTGGGTTTGATTTATTGACCTGGGCCAGATCTTGAGCCTGTAGTCCAGGAAAAACCCAGGCCCAGGAAAAACCATGAAGGTCAAAAAATGCCTAGGCCTGGACTCTGGGTACAGGAAAACCCTAGGCATTGGTCCTGACCCAGGCCGATCTTTGGTCCAGACCCATTAAATACACTCAATTTAGAAGATTTGGTTGATAATTGAGTGGAGGAAATCTGCCTGTCCTCAGAGGGATCTACTATTTTATAGTGAAGTTCGTTGTAAAAACTAGTGTAGCAATCCGACCTCTGAAACTAGACAAATCCCGAAAGGCTAAAAACCTCTAGTATAAAAGGGGAGCAAACTACCCTAGTATAGTATAAACTACTGAGGAACTTTTTGTTACTACAGGTATGTCCCTCGACTGATTAATTATTTGAGGGTACTATATTTATATTTAATGGTTGGTGCCCTGTCATATCCTCGATTAATTACGCAAAAAATTTCAAAGTTCTTTATTTATTAAATAAACCTGTACTCACATAAATATCCAAAAATATACCGCTACCAGCAGAGAACAACAAAAGTGTAGAGAAACGTCTACCAAACGTTCGATAGAAAACTCCACCAATTCCCATTTTATTTTTTCTTGAAATATTCTAAATAGCTTGAAAATTAAAAAGAAATTTTTTTTAATGAAAATAATTAAAAAATATACATAAAAATTAAATATTTATAAAATAAAAATCAAAGAAAAAATTTTTTTTTCATTTATTCAAAAAACCAAAAAAAAATTTTTTTTAATAAGTAAAATATTTTAATTCATTTTCTATACAAATATAGTTAAAAAAGCAAAATAATAGAATCCTGGAATTTTGGTTGGCCGTGGCTAATGCCTGGATCTATTCAAAAGTATAGGGTTTTTATTGCCCACAGGAATTGCCAGTTTGCCGAGGAATGAACAAGGAAAAGGAGTGACAAAAGATTTTATTTTGTTGTATAACACCAGAAAAAGTACCCCATAAGAAGCTGGTTCCTCGAAAAGTAACCCTACGACGGTGGTAAACCACGAGGTTCTCTTATTGTTTAAATGACCGGGTCATTTGCACAGTCTTAGATACGGAATCAGGATATAAAAAAATTCAATAGGTGACCAAAACGAGACTAAAATTCCGTTGTACCCAAAATTCCGGGCATCGTATAAATGATCAGGCCATTTGCTCAGTCTTATAATACGGGTCCAGGTTATGAAGAAAACTAACGAGTATACAAAGGAGACCACAATTCCATTGTAACTAAAATTCCGGGAATCAAATATAATTATGTAGGTAAATAGCAATTAAAAGGTATAAACATAAATATATAAAAGTTTAGAATATTTGGAGACAGCTCGAGAAATAAAAAATAATCCCCAAAAATTTGGAAAAAATTTTTTTACTTTTATTTATCGAGCTCTAAATTTAATACAAATGTGAATTTTTAATTCCCAAAAAATATTTAAAAATTGATACTACTGCCGTAATAGTTTAACTAGATCAAACGGTCCCGGGTATAGGGGCATAACTTTTTCAGAGTTCACAAAATCAAGATAATTCGTGTTTCATCGACACAGCTTGACGAGCCGCGTCGAATGAGCTATTACTAGCTGTTACTCGATATAATGCAGAAAACATGCCCTGAGGGTATATGGGAAGAGAGGAAATGAGCTAGCGGTTGGAATTGTTAAATCTGTTCGTACTCGTACATGTCTAATTTTTGCTTGTACTTCCACTCTGTACACATGTACGAGTTTTGGTAGAAGCTTCCAAACAAAGCAGAAAACACATGCCCTGAAGGCATGAGAAGAGGGGAAGTGAGCTATCACTTGCTGTTACTTTATAAATGTAGAAAAAACATCCCAAGTCGTGTAAGGACAGAAGGTGGTCCAACAGATCCGTCCTACCAAAAATTGGTCCAGATGAGCATAGGTAAGTCAGAACAGTCCGAGGTGTCGGAACTCGGAAATCGAAATTTTTTCGGAAATCGGAAGGAAAAAAACGTCTTAAGTCGGAATTCCGCCCACCTCTGCAAATGAGTTGAACGGACCCAAGAAAGTTCGGATAGCCGAAAAGTTTGGAATATCCGAGGATTTCGGAGAATCCGCAAGTAAACTCTAACCCACGCCCTCCGTAATGACCCCATAAATTCAGAAAGTATATGAGAAAAAGGGAATCAGTAATACCAAAAAATACCAAAAAAAATAAAAATAATTTTAATACTTTTGTGTAGCCATTCTCCTTTCATACGCATTTTTACACATTTCCCCATTCATCATTGTTTCACAAATTGGCCAAAGTACACAACGTTCTTCATCGCTGTAACAAAGAACCAAAACGGTTAGAATAAATATAGCTAGACAAATATAGCAAGGTCTGAATTAAAAAATTTTAATCAAGAATTTACATGTCTAGAGTATCGCTCATAAACAGGAGTTGTTGGTTTTACCATCAGCCCCTTCTTCGAGTAACCAAAACCGAAAATCGGAAAAACAAGCCAAAACCCTCTTGTCTCACCAGGTTACTAACTTAAATCCAGATCCAGAATTTTTGAAAATACCTAACTACCACGTTCGTGCCTTTTTATTTAAAAGATTGAACTAGAGATAGGCATGTATCTAGATTTTCCCTGGAACCAGAATCGAGTTATTTTTATTTTTCAGTGTTCCTTGATTTTTTCTTGACTCACGGTCACGAATCTGGATAAGGGGCCTCAACCGAAAGCAAGAATCAAGGTTCCTTTTAAGTTCCCGATCTTTTGGTTAATTACCAATACTCCCCCCTTCCTACCCAAAAAATAAATAAACCTTCTTTCCAAAACAAAACCGGCAATATAAAACCACAAAAAGAGCGCTTGATCAATTAAAAATGCTGGATGAACTAATTGTTTGGGTATTAAAAGTATAGGCATTAACCATTGAAGACAATACATTATTTTATATAAATTTTTGTTTTAAAGATTATTGAGTTGATTTAATCTAAAGTAAGAAATATTATCTTAATCAATGCAAGCATGTAAAAAATTAAAAAAACAAAAAAAATTCTTGATTTTATGGAGGCTCTCTGACAATACGTCAGCGGACAACTGGTCAGTGGACATTCGGCCAGCGGACAATCGGCGAATGGAAAATCGGCCAGCGGACAATCGGTCAGCGGACAAAAACGTAGTTGACTTTCAAACATCTATATCAGGGCTGGGCATAATGAAAAAAATAAAAAGCGAAATGCGAAACTTTTCGCGTTAAAAAATGCGAGAATGGGAAAGATGCGAAACGCGAAAGTGCGAAATAAGCCCAGCCCTGATCTATATCGATTTTGGTGTCATTCGACACAGCTCGATGGGTTCTACAATTGTTGTTCAGACTGACCATTTCTACATATTTTTCGAAAAAATTGACTGGGGGGGGGGTGGGGGGGGGGTGGGGTGGAACTAAATAAGTACCGTTCTTAGTTGTGCAATGATTACTAAATTCATTTAAAAAAATTTTTCTCCCAAAAAATTTTCACCAGAGTTTTTAGAATGTGTATTGTAGAGATGTCCGAGACCTAAATTTTTCCAAGACTCAAGACCCAAGACAAAATTTTTTCCAAGACCAACAGGGATGTGCGTCATGGCGTTTTGGCGTGACGTTTTGGCGTTTTGGCGTGATTTTTGGCCGATTTTGGCGTCCTGGCGTTTGGCGTGATTTTCATCTTTTGGCGCGCCAAAACGCCAAAATTATACACCCCTAATGATGGGAATTTTCCAAATAAATGTGGGAATTGTTTTCAAAAAAATGAAATTTTTTTGCCTGCAGCCTTCCAAAATTTGCAAAATTTTCGCCTGCGGCGCACAAAAAAGAAAGAAATCTACTTATTAGCTTTCCAAAAATCACGAAATTTTCGTTTGTGGCACTAATAGAAGGAAGCTATGATCTAAATACCATTATAGTGCTTCGAATACATATCTGGAACCAAGAAAGTTTTGGGTCATTGTTTGACAGAAAACGTTAAATACGCAGTGACAAGATTTGGAACAAAACAAAGTCTTAAGTCGATATACTCAATACAAAGTCTTAAGTCAATAACATGGTGTTTAGGACCATTGCTGTGTATGGCTGCAGTAGCTAGCTCCGGAGAATGGAAAACACGGAGCCGGACTGAAACCAAGGAACTTTGGCAGGACCAGGTCTCCCCTGTTCTCTCCGATAGATGTCCAAACTTAATGCACCTTTCTTCAATCTTCCAATATCCATCAAATCCTATTAATCTACCAAAGTCCACTAATGTCCTCCTTAATCCTTTCTAAGTCCCTTACTTCGGGAAGTTAAAGAAGATATCTGGACATTTAAACCCTTCGATATTCTACAACTCTGGGGTTGTGATTTTCCCATTTTTCTTGCAATTTTTTTAGAAAAAGTAGGATTTCTGCTTTTGTTCTTAACAAATTTTCATAATTTTGGGTGTAGGCGCTAAAAAAAGGATGAATTTTGGCTTCTGGAAGCTAAGATAATTCAAAAATTTTCGCCTGCGGCGATTTAAAAATATATTATACTTGTTTTTCGTGCCTTAGTTGAATAAAATTTTTGGCGTTTTGGCGTTTTGGCGTCGTTTTTTGCCGATTTTGGCGTTCTGGCGTTTGGCGTGATTTGAAAATTTGAAAAATTGGCGTTTGGCGTTTGGCGCGCCACGCGAAAATTCTGGCGCACATCCCTGAAGACCAAGACTCAAGACCAAGACCAAAACTCCAAGACTCAAGACCAAAAATAATACAAAACTCGAGACAAAACTTAAAACAATAATACAAAACTCGAGACCCCAACTGCCGCCCAAATCCTATGATATCTCCGATACAGCCCGAGCATTAAATAAAATTTAAAAAAAACGATTTAAATAAAAATTTATCAAAAGAATAAATAAAAATCAGTGTCATCATTCCACTTATTAGATTTGTGGCCCTAAAGAGGGCCGTTTGGGTTAGGTTTGTTGTTGACGGTAGGTTTTTGCACTTCCGGATTTTTTCCGGACCGGATTAATCCGGAAAAATCCGAAAAGATCCGGTCCGGCGCCGGGCACTAATTTTTAATAACTGGCGCTGAAACGTGCTGGCGCTGAATCGTCATGGCGCTGAATCGGTGGCGCTGAATCGTGTCTAACCGCGCATAGCTAGATCAGTTTCAACTAGAGACCGGCACGGGACGGGACCCCGTACGGGATTTTACGGGATCCCGTCCCGGAATCCCGGGTTTTTAGCGACAAACGGGATTACCGGGATTCCGGGATTAATCCCGCGGGATCCCGTCCCGGTCGAATTTTAAAAACCCAATCCCGTTCCGGGATCCCGGGAATTTTTTTCAAATTTACGGGATTTATAATTACTCCAGTAAACTGCCTGCGGAGCTGAAAAAGGAAAAAATCTGGGTTCTTGGCCGTCCAAAATTCTCAAAATTTTCGCCTGCGGCGCTAAAAAATGAAAAAAGCTAGCTTTTTAGCCTTCCAAAAAAAGAAAAATTCGAAAAGTTTTGCCTGTGGTGGATGGATTACGAGTAATTAAGAATGGATTTTTTGGATTAACAGAGATACAGAGGGTTTGTGAGGAGTACGTTTTTCTGAGGGTTAAATCATCTTAAGTTCAACTCCTGTGGAGTAAGAGATATATGATGTTGGAGTATTGCAAAGGGGTGTCATGGATTTGGGGTTAACATAGAGGATTAAGAGAAATTTGGAGGATAATAAGGGGTATCAGGGATTTATGGATTAAGAGGTATACCTAGGATCTGGGGATTAAGAGATATTGAGGGATCCATATATATCCATTCAAATCCAGTTGAGCCCTCTAAATCCGTATATTCGCCTTAACACACCGTTATTAAAATCACCCTTTATCACTCCAAATATACCGATATCCCTCTAAATCCACTTATAAGGATTCAAATCCTCTTAATCTCTCTAAATCCACTGATATCACTCTTAATCCTCTGATATCTATTCATTTTTCCCCTAATCCGTCAAAATCCACCGATATTGTCTCAAAATACGCCAATATTCAACATATCATAATTTAAAATTTTCCGGAGTCCCGGCGGGATCCCGGTAAATTTGAGAACGGGATTACCGGGATTACGGGATTTACGGGATTAATCCCTCGGGATCCCGTCCCGTAAAAAATTTTGAAAAAATCCCGTTCCGGGATCACGGGAATGCGATTTTGCCGGACTCTAGTTTCAACAGTCACTGTTTTTAACGTCAATAAATTTTTTATAAAAATAATGAAATGAATAAATTGAAAAGTAGTCAAATATGGAAACCAGGAAATCAAAAAATTTCATACAACAGAAAAAAACGGAGATTCGAATTCTATCCTAACAGACTAGGTTGCAATTTAACGGGAGGGATACGATTAAATCAAAAAAACTAGGTCAAGAATACCCTCAATCCATTTCTCGTATTACCCTAATTTATTTTAAACAAAAAAGCAAGCCAAAGCAAATACATTTATTATTCCTAGAAAATTATGAGAATATTTTTATTTGAATTTATTCTCTTCTTTCTTATTTATTGCCTATATGTTCCATTAGTGTCCTAAAAATAAAAAATAAGTTTACAACTTAAAAACACAATCCATACCTATATATTGTCCCTCCACCTATTTCACCATCTTCTGTTTCTTCTTTCGACTCTTTGATTCGAGTCGACTATGCATGTATCCAGTTAGAGTTGCAATTTGACCCTTCATTGCATCCACCAGATTGAGTTTTTCCTTCATCTAAATTTTCTTATATCAATACATGATCCGAAAGGTAAACCTGTCCGAGCTCGCCTTTCAGAAGATTCATGTCTTCTGTCATCTTTCCAATAGCAGCATTCATAGCCTGAAGCTGGATGCGAACGTCGTTCTCATATTTCTCCATGTTCTTCTCCCTATCCTCAAGCGATTTGAGATGCTTCAATGCATCTTTGTTGTGGATTCAAGCATTCGACGAAGCTGTAAAAATCGAAGAAAAATTTCGAAAAAATTCAAGGCTTACCTCTTTCTCGTCACTTGCAACTTGGACCTCTCGCTTCTTTACAGCTTTTTCACGCGCATCAACAGCTTCCTCCCGTTTATTCACGCTGACCTCATGCTCAATCACAGCCTTCTGCTTTGCTTGCCAAGTCTTCTGTTCTTTGCCAAAAAGTAGCTTCATTCTAAAATGTTTAAAAATAGCTTTAGTACTTTGTTCATATCCTGCCCCCATCCCTATTTGAGTCTCAGATTAATTTTCATTTTTTACTGTCAATCATTTATTTTCCTACTTTTTTTAATGCCAACCATTTTTCCTTCAACTATGGAACACCCAAAATGGCGCACAGCCGTAACGGCGCAAAGGCATAACTTGCTTCAAGATTTTCGAATTTTAGCAAAATTAATATTAAACAATTCCTCTCGTCGAGCTAAAGATTCAGATGCCAAAAATAACAAGGGCCGAAAATATTCCAGCAAGTTATGCCTTTGCGCCGTTACGGCCGTGCGCCATTTTGGGTGTTCCATAGTTGAAGGAAAAATGGTTGGCATTAAAAAAAGTAGGAAAATAAATGATTGACAGTAAAAAATGAAAATTAATCTGAGACTCAAATAGGGATGGGGGCAGGATATGAACAAAGTACTAAAGCTATTTTTAAACATTTTAGAATGAAGCTACTTTTTGGCAAAGAACAGAAGACTTGGCAAGCAAAGCAGAAGGCTGTGATTGAGCATGAGGTCAGCGTGAATAAACGGGAGGAAGCTGTTGATGCGCGTGAAAAAGCTGTAAAGAAGCGAGAGGTCCAAGTTGCAAGTGACGAGAAAGAGGTAAGCCTTGAATTTTTTCGAAATTTTTCTTCGATTTTTACAGCTTCGTCGAATGCTTGAATCCACAACAAAGATGCATAAAGATGCATTGAAGCATCTCAAATCGCTTGAGGATAGGGAGAAGAACATGGAGAAATATGAGAACGACGTTCGCATCCAGCTTCAGGCTATGAATGCTGCTATTGGAAAGATGACAGAAGACATGAATCTTCTGAAAGGCGAGCTCGGACAGGTTTACCTTTCGGATCATGTATTGATATAAGAAAATTTAGATGAAGGAAAAACTCAATCTGGTGGATGCAATGAAGGGTCAAATTGCAACTCTAACTGGATACATGCATAGTCGACTCGAATCAAAGAGTCGAAAGAAGAAACAGAAGATGGTGAAATAGGTGGAGGGACAATATACAGGTATGGATTGTGTTTTTAAGTTGTAAACTTATTTTTTATTTTTAGGACACTAATGGAACATATAGGCAATAAATAAGAAAGAAGAGAATAAATTCGGCAAAATTCCGTCATAGGTCCCTGAAACCAATCCAGACAAACAATATGTCATTTGAAAGAGCTCGGTGAGCTGAGTCAAATGGCACCAAAATTAGGTCCCGGTCTAACCTATGGACCGAGATATAAAACTCGAAATGGTCAAATTTATGGGGGGATTTTTGGGATAAAAAATTCGAATATACAAATAATAGCTCATTCGAAAGGGCTCGACGAGCTGAGTTGAATGACACCAAAATCAGCATGAACAAAGTTATGACCAGCGGAATCTTCGCTGGAAAAACTTTTTGTGCTGCTACGGAGGGTAGGCCGGGCATGGTTCGCTTCGCTCGCGGCGACCGTAGCGAAGCGGCGGCCGTCGTTCCGTTCGACATGCCCGGCTTCCTCCGCAGCGGCAAGAACTTTTTTCCGCGTAGGCCTTATGTGCGGAGTTAAAACAAACGATCATAACTTTGTCAAATCAAGTCAGATTTCATTGATTTTGGTGTCATTCTACTGATCTTGAAGAGCTCTTTCAAATGAGCTATTATTTGCATATCCAAATTTTTCACCCCAAAAAAGTGTTTGGTCCCCCCTATGGTTTTTCGATTTTCGTGGGCCTATATCTCGGTCCATAATTTAGACCGGGACCTAATTTTGGTGTCGTTCGACTCAGCTCGACGAGCTCTTTCGATTGACATATTGTTTGTCTGAATCGGTTTCCGGGACTTATGACGGAATTTTACCAGAATTTTTGTTAGGTGTTTTTTAAGATGAATTTAAGGAGAGAAAATAAACGGAGAAAATAATAAGTAGATAATTGGATAAATTTGGAATATTTTTTGTAAAGAATCAGACAAATAAAAATAATCGCTCATTTAAACTCCAAATTAGATATTTAAAAAATAATATCGTAAAATAATTTTTTCATACCATCAGATTTATTGTTGTTGTTCAATTCCATATTTTGAGAATAAATTTCACTTTCATTTCCTCCATTTTATTCACCAAAATCTTGAGAATTTGTTATAGAATCGAGAAGAGAATTGTTGCTATTGTTGTTAGTCCAAGTACAGCTGTTGTTTAAAATGTCATGGATTCGTGGAAGAACATCTTGACCCTATAAAAATGACAAAAATAATTTTGTCCAATTTATAATTTATAAAAGAGCCAGGGATGGTGCCGACAAGAAAAATAATTTCGGGAAACTCATACTCCTAGAAATGCCTGTGAGATTTCTTTAAAAGAATTAAGTTTAAACAAACCTCTCTACTTAAAGACTCCAAAAAAGGTCAACAATTCAGTATCATTCCTCTCAACAAACCAACTCTCAATTGGAATTACAGTTTTTGAAAGATCTCCTCCAAGAATACTCAAATCTTTGATGTAATTGCCAGCAACAAATACACAATGTTCACGATAGAGACGATGACGAATAAATCGTTTTCCGGGATCAAGTAAATTCTGAAGAAATAATAGATTTAATTTTAAAGATATGTAGAAAAAGAGACGTCCAAAATCTTAAGGCAAGACTTTACTAAGGTTTTATCGATTTTATTTGTTAGGGAGTGAAGTCTTGATCTTGAAAAGCTCCTAGAAAAAAGCAACTATTTCTTGGATCATAAAAATTACCTAAAATCTTGTAAAAAAGTTCCTATTTATACAGACATTTTTAAAAGAGGAAAAGTTTATAAATCAAACCAAAAGTTTCTCTGCATAAACTCTTTTACTCGCAGTAAAGAGAACAATTTCAAAATGATTTGACAAACGTTCAAGAAATTCGTGAAGATGAGGACGAACTCTGACAAAAACCTTAAAAATGAGGTTTTAGAAAAATTTAGAAGGTTACAAAGTTATTTTGTCTAGTAAGTAAGGTTGCCGGTTCTTAGAAAAGCTGCGGATATCCGAAACCAAACCAAAGGACCAAACAAAAAATCCTCTAATCTTTGATTCGGTGCTGAAATGATAACACCCTCTAACTACTATATGAGAAACAGCAGTGTATGTGGATCGTAAATAGGCCCAGGTTCGAAACGTCCAGGTTCAAAATCACCCAGGAAAATTCCTTCTTATTCTGTATAATTGATCTGAATAAAATTAAACCTGGAAAACTTGATCTTGAAATTCAACTTCAAAAGTCATTGCAGCATCAGGCAATTCTTCAATACTACAATGAACCAATGTCTCATCCAAATCCAAAACTAGCGAATAAAGAGGCGAAGATCTTGTCCTTATAGGAAGTGCTGGACTTCGATAACGCATTTCTTCTGTTGGAGGAGGCAGACTTTGAAGTAAAGCAATGCTTAAATTTAAAAATACCTATATAGCATTTTAATTTTAAATTATTTTGGAAATTGTAACGAGTTTCTTGAGATCTTTGTACAGACACTTTCTAATCTTTCATAAAATTTTTTCAATGTTTCTTTACTCGAAAATACAAAAAAAATCCTAGAAGTCCCCGAAAATTTGCTTTTATTTGTTTGTTTAACAGAATAATATTTAAAAAGCAAAAATTAGTTATCGACATGCGGACATGAACCAGAGACCTCCATAAACAATCAGTCAGATCTAAAGTCATAACCGAACCAAAGAACCAACGATTTTTCAGTTCGTTTCTGCGACTCGAAGATTTCCCAGAACCGATAACCCTAGTCAGATTACATTTTAGTCAAATCCCACTGGATGGTTACTCACAAAAAATACCCTCCCCCAACTAGAAAATATACACAAAAAATTTACGATTGATTATCAATTTGTGGAGCAAATAAAGAATCATCAGAACCATCATGAGGCAATTGAATTTCTTGAAGAACAGAAGTAATTAAAGAAGAATCGTTGTTATTATTTAATTGTTGGGTTACATAAACTGGTGAAGTAGAAGTTGTATTGCTGGTTCCTTCAATTGATCCATCATTATCACTAAAATTTTAGAATATTAGCAAAAGTTAACGGTTATTGTGGGATATCCTAAACCCAATTTTTTCGGACTTACAAAATAATCACGCTCTGTTCACCCAAACAGATCACGAACCGAAGAACCGAAGATTTTTCGATTCGTTTTGGAAAAAATAAAAAAAAAGTTTGAAAGGTTTGAAAGTTATTTCCACTCCCTATAAAATCAGAAAAAATGGATAGGTTGTTGGAACATACAACTGAATCAAGCCCCAAATATGTTTGTTGGAAATTTGACCGAACTGAAAGCCTCGAAAAATTCTTAGCTTCATTAGACAGTCCAGTTAATATACAAATTTGTTAAACCGACACCACTAATCCCAACTATTGGAAGTAGGGTTGTTCCCCGTCCCCGAAAAGGATCTCCAAAATTTTCAAAATTTTCGCCTGCGGCGCCTTTCCCCGTAATTTTTTCGCCTTTCCCCGTAAAAATTTTTTCCCCGTCCCCGTCTCCCCACCGTAAAAAATGAAAAAAATTTTCCCCGTCCCCGCCCCCCCCCCGTGGCGCTGACTCCCCGAAAATTTTCCCCGTGGCCCTCCCCCCCCCCCCCCCCGTCGGGGAACAACCCTAATTGGAAGGGTTTTGCTGACCGACTGAAAGTCTAAAAGAAGGTAAGGCAAAGTGAGGGCGACTCAAACGCTCCAAAAGTCGAAAACTTTGAAGCCCTTTAACTTTTCGATTTGAGGGGTAGGGCCGAAAAAGAAAAAAACTAGCAAAAACTAGTAATTCTTAAGATTTTTTGATACAAGGCCTCAATAATCCAAAAATTTAAAAAAACCTAAAATCCTTATTGTCCAATTCATCCAAATCAACAGCACTGTCGCCATCATCCTTTGTATTTTTCTGTTGTATTTGTTGACAATTAGATCTGCGTGCTCTTGTTGTGAATGAGGTTGAAGGTGTAGATTTTATTAGTAACATTATTTCCTCCTTAAAAATTTTTAAATAAATTTAATTTAAGAAAAAATTAAAAACAAAATATTTAATTAAGTTTGTCCACCGGTCAGGAATCGAACCTGTCCCTTTTGACACTTAGTTGAGCATATCGCTTACAATTAGGGTTGTCGATAGGAACTGAACCGAAGGTTTTTCTATTCGCTATGGTTACCCAAAAATATTCCAATAATCGACAATCCTACTCACCAAATATAGGTGCTCAATCGACTTACAATTAGAGCTATACTTGAAATAAATTAAAAATGGTTAAATATAAAGTAAAAGCCTATCCCGCACCTAACCTAGAAGCAATTCAGCCCGGAGTTAAGCCAAAATATAAACACAAGCGAATCTTAATTTTAGATATTTTTGGAGATAGTACCGAGGTTTTCTCTCAATTTTTTGTACAGAAACTCTCCAATCATATTTAAAAAATTGGTTAAAAGTTCCGAAAATATATGAGAGAAAGGGGAACAGTAATACCAAAAAAAAAACTTTTAATACTTTTGTGTAGCCATTCTCCTTTCATAAGCATTTTTACACATTTCCCCATTCATCATTGTTTCACAAATTGGCCAAAGTAAACAGCGTTCTTCATCACTATAGCAAAGAACCAAAACGGTTAGAATAAATATAGCTAGACAAATGTAGCAAGGTCTAAATTTGAATTAAAAATTTACATAAATCTAAAGTATCACTATGGACAGAAGGTTTCAACAAAATTTTCGATTAATCGAAAATCGGCAAACCAAGCCGAAAGCCACTTGGGTAATATTGAACCGAACAGACCCCATTTTTCCTCCCCAATTTTCCCACTATATCTTTGCAAAATGGTCAGACTTTTACCCTTACAAAAAATTTAAAAAATAATTTCCCCAAGCGGGCTCAAACCCACGACCTCCATAATGACAAATACTAGTTGCTCTATGGGTACCACGTTCCTACCCTCTTATTTAAAAGATAGTTTTATTGGGATATAGATCGGCCTGGATCTTGATTTTCGTTGGAACCAGAATCAAGTTGAAGGCACTTTTTAAGTGTTTTTTGATTTTTCCTTGACTCACGGTCACGAAGAATCCGGTTAAGGGACTCGATCGAGGGCCTAAACCTTAAGGGACTCAACCGAAAGCAAGAATCAAGGTTTCTTTTAAATTCCCGATCTCTTTAGTTGACTACCTATACCCCCTCCCCCTTCCTACCAAAATAAATTTAAATAAACCTTCTTTCCAAAACAAAACCAGCAATATAAAACCACAAAAAGAGCGCTTGATCAATTAAAAATGCTGGGTGAACTAATTGTTTGGGTATTAAAAGTATAGGCATTAGCCATTGAAGACAATACATTATTGAAAATAAATTTTTGCTTAAAGATTAAGTTGAGTTGATTTAATCTAAAGTAAGAAAAATTATTTCAATCAATGCAAGCACGTAAAAAATCAACAAAAAACAAAAAAAATTCATGAGCTCATGTATGCTCCCGGACAATTAGTCGGTGGACAATTGGTCAGTGGACAATTGGTCAGTGGACGATTAGTCAGCGGACAAATGGTCGGTGGACAATTGGACAGCGAACAATTGGTCTATGGACAATTAGTCAGCTGACAATTAGTCGGTGGACAAATGGTCGGTGGACAATTGGACAGCGGACAATTGGTCGGTGGACAATCGGCCCGCGGGATCCCGGTCGAACTTTTAGAACCCAACCCCATTCCGGGATCCCTGCAACTTTGCAGTACATATTATTTTTTAATTTAATATTTTTCTGATTAAAAGTCCCCCCAAAATTATACAATAAAATACAAAATTCCTTTATAAAATCATCGTCAATTATGATGGAATTTAACATTTCTCATAACTTCCCCCTTCTCAATATACATTGAGTTTTGGTAAATAAAAACCAGTCAGCTAACGACCAACCGGCGCCAACCAAAACTAGCTAGAGCTCACAATAATATTTATTTATGTACACAATTCCTTCTCTAAATTGTCTGTTAAATAAGCTTAGAAATATAATAAAAATATTTTAAAACTGTATATGTACCAGGGATGTCACGGGTTACCCGAAACCCGATACCCGAAACCCGAAACCCGGCCTTTTTTCGACCCGATACCCGAAACCCGATCCGAGAAATTTTCTAAAACCCGACCCGAAACCCGACCCGAGAATTTTTATTTTTCAAAACCCGACCCGAAACCCGACCCGAGTTTTTTCAAAATTTTCGCCCGCGTCGCAGAAAAAGGGAAGATTTTTAGCTTAATGATCCTCCAAAATTCTGAAAATTTTCGCCTGCGGCGCTGAAAAAGGGAAGATTTTTAGCTTAATGACCTCCAAAATTCTGAAAATTTTCGCCTGCGGCGCTGAAAAAGGGAAGATTTTTAGCTTAATGACCTCCAAAATTCTGAAAATTTTCGCCTGCGGCGCTGAAAAAGGGACTTTTTTTCGACCCGAAACCCGAAACCCGATCCGAAGAAAATTTTGAAAACCCGATCCGAAACCCGACCCGACTTTTTGCTCAACCCGAAACCCGAAACCCGATCCGAGAAAAATTTTGGAAACCCGACCCGAAACCCGACCCGACATTTTTCTCAACCCGTGACATCCCTGATATGTACTCCTAAACGGTATATTTTTGCATGGTCTGACCTTACTTGAATACTCTTTACTAGTGACACTTCTATTTAAGATACGTTTTTGAAATTTAGTTGGCTTATATGTGAGGAGAGTTGAGTAATTAATACCCTCTATTTAATATACACCCCATTATAAATCACCCTCTATTTAAGATAAATCTCCTTATAAGATATCCTCTATTTAATAGACACCCCATTATAAGATACCCTCTATGTAATATACGGGTTTTAAAATTTGGTTGTTCGCTAGATGAGGAGCTGTCTACGAAACAATACCACAAATTTTAAATACCTAAATCTGATTTTTGTATCAAGACAATACACCGTCCAGACAATACACCGTATACAGATGGGTTACCAGAAACCTGAACTTTTTAATATGAAACCAGAACCAGTGCTTGGAAATTTTCATTTACATTTTTTAATATTAAAAAAATTTTTTAGTCAAATAGAAATAAAAAATTTTATTTGTCGATAGAAATGACATTTATTTACGTCTATCAGCTTTTTTGAATTAATCATTCACATTTTTTATATATTTTTTAGATTTTTCCTATAAATTCTTTTTTGTTTAATTTAAACAATTTTAATATATTAATTATTTTCGCGCATTCTTTTAAAGAAAAAATAATTTATTGAGTAAATGTTTGTAAAGGTTAAATCCAAGAAAAAACCCCCCCAAAAAAAATCAAAAATCCTATTTTTCATATTTATTTTTATTTAAATTTAATTTCCTTTTTATATTTGCATTTTTATGACATGAATTTTCGAAAATTTTATTTTTAATATTTAGAAATTATTTTTATTAAATTTTTAAGAAAATCAATTTTAATTTTAATTTAAGGCCTAAAAAAATTTTTTTAATAAAGGATCTTTTTAATAAAGGCTCTCTGATCTTTCGGTACCTATAGCTAACGCTCCAATTTATATGTTGGCAAAAAAATTTTTAACTCCATTAAAAGTTAAGAATTTTTTCCAAAATAGGGAGAAAACGAAGCGGGTAGAGCATCGCCAAGCCCTTCCTAGGGTCTGACGCTACCCGGGTAACCTTACTCTTGAATTTATTCTACGGGTCCAGATGGGTTACCCTAAACCTGAACTCCTTCAAAATAATTCTAGCATTCATACTTCACACCAACCTATTTTTGACTCTAGGCACGAATATTATTACGAGTGCCTCGCCGAATCTTTGCCTTCTCTGGTTTTTCGTTTTACGGTGTTTCCCATTTCGTCTTCATTTTTTAAATCTGTTCCGGCACACTCTTGGTATTTTATATTTAATATCGCCTATAATTACTTTTTTAATTAAAACCAATAACTTTTTTGGTCTTTAACCAAAAAAAAAACATTTTTTCTTTTTAAACCCCCCCCCCACCTCCTTTCTTTTTACAATTTTTATTTTTTTCCTTCTTTTACCAAAAAAAACATTCAATTTAGCATTAATGGTTTGCCTCTCCTTTCTTTTAACTAAAAACAATTTTTAAAAGGCTTCTCCTTTGTAGCTTCTCCTTTTTCTGCCAAAAAAAAATTTTTTTCAAGAAACACGCATTTACAGTCATCGACATAAAGATAGGGGCAAGAGTAACTGAAATGGAAATTAACCATTTTCTCAGTTAAAAATTCATTTTAGGAAAATTTTTTTTATTTTATTGGATACTCCATTTAATTCTCTATTTAATGAGTATAAATTTTACTTGATTAATATTTTATACTACAGAGCCCTAACCGAAATAAAAAAGTATGGCTAATTTTCGCGCGACAAAAAGATAGGGGCAAGTCTCATAACTAAAAATTCACCCAGACAAAAAATCTATAAAAATTCATACAATCATATTGACCGATAATAAGAGGAAATAAAAAAAAACTAGGCCCATAACTCATTTCAATGTCGAGATCTCGATACCCCAAAAATCAACGTAAAACAGAGGTAAGCAACTTTAAAAAAAATTTTCGACCCCTTGTGGATTGTTTTAAATTTTTATTTTAGGCTCATTCGATAGCCCTTTAAATTTGCTACAAGCTGGCCAAATTTTATTTCTCAGGAAAATTTCCCACCCGAGATAAAGACCGTTGTTTCTCAGAAACGCCATTTAAGAGGTAATTTATGGGGTGTTTGTTGCTTTTCGTAACATTCGCCTCTGCAACCAACGAAATATTTTTTTCTGAAAAATGAAATTCAGCGAGTTTATAGTAAATTTTAAGGGCTATCGAATGAGCCTAAAATAAAAATTTAAAACAATCCACAGGGGGTCGAAAAATTTTTTAAAGTTGCTTACCCCTGTTTTACGTTGATTTTTGGGGCATCGAGATCTCGACATTGAAATGAGTTATGGGCCTAGTTCTTTTTTATTTCCTCTTATTATCGGTCAATATGATTGTATGAATTTTTATAGATTTTTTGTCTGGGTGAATTTTTAGTTATGAGACTTGCCCCTATCTTTTTGTCGCGCGAAAATTAGCCATACTTTTTTATTTCGGTTAGGGCTCTGTAGTATAAAATATTAATCCGGCAAAATTTATACTCATTAAATAGAGAATTAAATGGAGTATCCAATAAAATAAAAAAAAATTTCCTAAAATGAATTTTTAACTGAGAAAATGGTTAATTTCCATTTCAGTTACTCTTGCCCCTATCTTTATGTCGATGACTGTATTTGTTAGAAGAGAGGAGAAAAAATATTTTTTCTTTTCTTTTAAAAATGCCCAAAAATGTGTATTTTACTAATAAACTTGACTAAAGAAAAACCAAAAAATAAAGTGGGGGAAAAGACTAAAATTAAAAGAAAAACTAAAAATTAATTGAGAGAAAAAGAGAGAGAAGGAAAAAATAGTAGATGGAAACTAGAAATTGGATAAATGACTAGAATCCAAGTTCGAATTTTAAATCAAGTTCAATTTTACACAAAAGAAAGTGACTACAATTCAGATTTGAAGCAGAGATGGTTACTCGGACCCCTGACTTTTTTTTTCAACGCGAAACTCGGCCCGTGGCATTAGTCGAGTAGTAGAGTAGTACTCGAGCCTTTACCCGTAGCATTCTTGGTTCGAAATTTTTGAAATTCTTTGGTCGAATATTCCATGCGTCCAGTAAATGTAACGAGAGACTGTATCGGTCGAGATCTCGATCAAAAATTTCGGTTATTGCTGTGAAAGTTTCGAGATATCCAGTTCGATTCTCATACAATTCTCTCAATTCGATCTCTTACTCACTATTTTTTCTTTGTTCATTAACCATTATATCGAATTTCTGGGTCTGATTGATTAAATTAAAGCTCGAACTAAGGAGATGGGTCTCTTTCTAGAAATGAGCTCCCTTCCTTTAGAGATGGGTCCCCTTTTTAATCAAAGATGGACCCCTTTAAAGACTGAAAATTTTTTGATAGAGAAAAGAAACTTGTAGTATTTTGTCTGGACAGAGCTTAAAAGAAAAGAAGGGAGAGAGGGACGGGGATAAAAGCTAAGGAAAACAAGCAAAACAAAAAGTAGAAAAAATGCCATTTTAAGTTGGAAGCCTTTAAAAGAAAGAAGCCTTTTTTTAAAAAATATTCTCTTTCATTTTCTTTTTAGTTTAAATATGTAGTAGCTAATTAGAGCTACATAAAAGTCAAACAAAAAAATTAAGAAGGTCCCCTTTTAAAGATTTTTTGGCGACACTTAGAAAAGTCCCGGAAATAGATTTTTTTCCTTTTTTAAATATTTTATTTTCCACTGTGTTCTTTAAAAAGGTTTCATTTATTTAATAAGCACCCTTGATTAGGGAGCATGGGGGCCCTTGAAAAGACTCGGTCGGGCCGGCCCGATATAAGTGAAGCCCGAAAGAATGACTTTAACGTCGGCCCGACACGAAAACTCGAAAACCCACAACCCTACTCTTGACTTTTTTTCTTTAAAAACCCTCCAATTGTTGCTTAAAGAAATCACAAGCAAAAAAATGTTTGGTGAATTAAAATAGGAGCTGACACTGACCGGGGGTTTTTATGGTCCTGGTCTTTGTATTTTTGTAAAGCCTATAGCTATTGTAAAGCGTATATTTATGTGCAGGAAGCGATGTGTTGTAATGGATAACAAGGCAGTCTCTCTTATCCTCTAGTTATATCCAAGCCGCCGCCGCCAAATAAACTTTTGCACTAGCTGAAGGAGAAATCTGCTTTATTTTTTGAAAAGCACTCTTTCTTTCCGAAACCTCTGGCCCTATAAAAAAATTCTCAATCAGGGCCCGAAAATCTGAAAAGTTCTAAATCCACTTAAATATTAACGTCAAAATTCAAGTAGTTATATCCCTCCTAAATCCATCCATTTAATCCAAGTATATCTCTTTGACTTTCAATTTTTCTCAAAATTGTTGACATTTTTTTAATCAATTTTGGTATTTAAATATTTTTAATGGCTTCTTTAAAGCCTTATTTTACATGTGTACATATTTAATTTAAAAAAGAGAAAGATTTAATATTTAAAATGGGGGCTATTAGAAGATTAAAAGGAAAAAAGAGATTAAAAGTAAATATTTAGAAATATTAAATCTTTTTTAAAGGTCTATATTTTAATTTAATAGAGTCAAATCTCTTTTAAAAGTACACCCTTTGGGGCTGAAAAGATTGTAGCTTATAATGAGTGTCTATTAAATAGAGGTGCGTCTCTTATAATGAGCGTTTCTTATAGTGAGGTGTCTCTTAAGCGTCTCTTATAATGAGCGTCTATTAAATAGAGGTGCGTCTCTTATAATGAGCGTTTCTTATAGTGAGGTGTCTCTTAAGCGTCTCTTATAATGAGCGTCTATTAAATAGAGGTGCGTCTCTTATAATGAGCGTTTCTTATAGTGAGGTGTCTCTTAAGCGTCTCTTATAATGAGCGTCTCTTATAATGAGGTGTCTCTTATAATGAGAGTCTATTAAATAGAGGGTATCCCTTGGGAAGCTCCTCCCCTTAATGGCCAACTAAATTTTTAACTAGTATCTTAAATTGAGGTTATCTTATACAGAGTTTTCGCTTTTGGCCGAATTTTCGTTTTTTAGTGTTTCGATTTCGTTTTTAATTTAATTTCGTTTTGTTGCCTTTCGCCTCTTAAGATCTGTTTCAGCTAAACACGGATAAAGTTCGACATTTTAAGGTACCCTCACTATTAGACACCCCTCTAGTATAATCTGCACCTCAATTTAAGAAACCCCTCTATTTAATATACCCTCATTATAAGAGACCATTTTCTCTTAAGATCTGTTTCGACTAAACACTAGTTGAACCTCTATTTAAGAAACCCCTCTATTTAGTATACAGCTCGTTATAAGGGACAATTTTTCAGCCCCAAAAGGGTATCTAAAAACGAGGTTTGAAGGTATTCCAAAAAATTATTTTTAAAAAATTATTTTTAAAAAATTTATTTATTTAATTAGTTCCATTTCCCCCTTTTTTAATTTTTCCCGTTCACATTTTTGCGCGCCCCATCTACTAAAAAATATTTTTATAATCTTTTTCTATCCATTTCATTATTTTTAATCATCCTCTTTTTTTCTTCACATTTTTAACCGTCACACACAAACACATTTTTATTTTATCGCAATTTTCTTCTTATTCCCCCCTTTTTTCAAAACAATTTTCACATCCGTAATAACCCCCCTTCCCTCCCCTTTCCTTTTACCAACCCAATTACCTCCCCCGTCTGCCCTAAATTTTTTTGTTTTTCTTGTATTGATTAAGGAATACAAGAGTAAAAAAACCCACGATCTGCCTGCGAGTTCGCTTCATCGCATAACATAGATCGTTAAGAACGCACCGGACATCCGGAACCGGAACCTTATTAATTATCTTCCTTTTCAGCGCCGTTGACAAAATTTTTGGATTTCAGTAGAGCCCTCTCCATTTTTATGCTATGCTTACTTACCTATACTTACATGTTGCTCGTAATCTTGTCTTCCTTTTTAATGTTATTTTCTGTCGCAAGACGCAAGGTGATTTTCACTGAAGCGTAGCATTAGCGATTTAAAGTTCGGGGAAGTCTTTGCCACATTGAGCAGAATCCTTTAAATAAAATTACCTTTCAAACTTGGAACAAAACCAAAGATTATGGATACTGGGACCACGGACCACCTAACTTACTCATGCAATAAGTAAGATCCAACCGGAGGTTAAGATAATCAGCGCCCCTTGTAGCTCAGTCTGTAAGCACCTCTAAACTTGGTGAGCGAAAGCTCCTCGCTAACTTACCTGAAAGTCACAGGTTATGCCTGCCCGTGGCTAAGCTTTTACCTCTCTTTCTTTTACTCTCATTAGGCTTGCCCTTTGCCACCTTTTAATTTATTTGTTGGTCTACTTTTAATTGAGAAAAGGATCTCTTGAAGGATATCTTGTCAGTTAACTAATTAATCACCCCCCCCCTTCTCCCAAAATTTATATTTTTTGTTTACTTGCTTTCTTTCTCTTTTTTCTAATCGCCTGATTTAACCAGCAGCCAACTGCTTTTTATTTTTTAATTGATTGAAAGTGTCCGTCCCTTTTACCAAAAAATACTTTTACAAGTAAATTAAACATGAATCTTCCCCCCAATAAAATCACTTATCAAACCAGTCAGTTAAAATGAAAAGCTAGTTAATGGGGGTAGGAAGGAGAAGGAGAGTAGGAAGAAGACTACTTTTTCTTTCCGCAAAAATATTTTATATTTTTTTTCAAATAAAATTAATCAAATTTTTATTGATTTTTTTGTTAAATTTTTAATTTTAAATACCCTATTTTATTAAATAATTACCCCGGGGTAATTATGTTTTCCACATTTCGTTAGGGGGTAATAAATTAATTATTCGATTTTTTGACCCCAAAAATCAGCTGGCCCCTCCTATGATTGTTGACCATTTCGGGCCCCCATATGGTTTTTGACCATTTCGAACCCCTTATCGTTGTTGACCATTTTGAGCTTCATTTCTCAATTGTCCCGTTATCTTATCCGGTTATATTTGAAGGGTTTATTGTTTTCGAATGATTCAAGGATTTGTATTGACTCACAGCTTAAAAAGTGGGCTGCTGAGACTCAGTCGGCCCGTTCCTCTTAATTTGCCAGCGAACATGTTAGAGAAATAAAGAATAAATTTCTAAAAATAAAGAGGGAATCCATGACCACTTTTCATGCTCCTTGGCGCCACAACAAAATAGTACGCGACAAAATGGTACATAGGCCAAATTTGGTAAAAATGGTAATATGTCCTTTAATAAATTAAAATTACACCCACCGATGAGTTTACTTGGGCACCCTATGAGTAATCAAAAAATTGATAAAAAGATGTTTCTATTTTTATTTTTAAAGGCAGCTAATCAGTAAAATGATAAGAAACTTATAAATTGTCTTAGTTTTTAAATTGCCACAGCAATATTTTTGTGAGCACCATTTTGTCTTATTTTACCTTCTGCACTGTTTTGTCGTGTACCATTTTGTCTTATTTTTCCCTCTGTACCATTTTGTCCTGTTTTAGCCATAGTACCATTTTGTCGATGCATGTCTCTTTATGTATAAACCGGTGTGGTCGGTCGATAGTTTTAGAGAAAAGATTAAAATAAAAATTTTTAGTGAGAGAGAGAAAGGAAAGGGAGAAAGACCCAATACCGCGCAGCATTCCTTTAGTGTCATTTCGCTCACATTTTTTATTCATTTCCTTGCTTGACATTTCATCTGTCCATTTTCTTCACTACACAAGTTTTCTATATAGCACACCTTTATTTAACAATTTTTATATATCGATTCCTTCTTGCATTCCGCGCGAATGTAGCTACAAAAATTTTTTTTAGAAAAATTTTATTTTTGTGTGATTAAAGTGATATCCAAGTTAGTGACCAGCGAGGGACTGGGAGTTGCAGGTTCCCTCGAGGAGACAGAGGAACACTTCCGGTGCTCGTAGGACTTTCGCAATTCCGCACTTTTTAGTTTGCGTGTATCCCGTGTAGTTCTGTACCACACACTACCTTTACCGTAACCCTCATTTATTCGCTAGAAGGACACCACTATTGATATACCATTCGAAAAGGTTCGTCGTGCAGACAAAGAGGAATCCATTCCGGCTCTTCTACTGCCCGGGACATCTGTTCATCTTTTGGGGGTCATTTTGTTAACTTTTAATTTTAACTATTAAATAGGCCAAGTTATGCCCCTTCAAATTTACGAGCTGAATTAGATTCGAAATAAAGCTCCACGGAGTACCTTGCTAATCCATGACCATTTTTTATAGCTTAGGGCAAATTTAATAAATTTTTATTTAATTTTTTAAATAAAATATCAAAAATAAGAGTCTGATTCATGCACTAAACTACAAAAAAATTATTTAATTTTAGATACTATAAATTAATTCTTAAAAAAATAAATTATTTGGATTCACGCAAATTAACTACAAAAATATTTAAAAAAAAGAAAATTTGTCGCTGCTTTTCCTATATTTTGTTGATATAAAATAAAACTACAAATATCTATTTTTGATAGTCTTGGACAGAATAAACAAATTTGTATGTGAGTTTATGTATTTAATTTTTAATGGTGGTAGTAGTTGTGCCCGTTGGTGTAGTTGGTTAGTGTTTCTCTTCCATTTTCCCCCCACCATGGTTCGAATCAGCTTGGGTGCAATTAATTATTTTTGACTTCCCATTATATAATAAATTATTTTTGACGATTTATTTAGTGTTTTTGATGCAATTTTAATTTTTAAAATCTGGTTTTTACTTAATTTTTTGTCTTTTAGAAGAAGAAATATTCCCGCAATTATGGACCATCATGCTTTGGTGGAGGAATTACCTGAAATTGAAAAATTAACCCCTCAAGAACGCATTGCACTAGCCAGAGAACGCCGGGCCGAACAACTTAGACAAAATGCTGCACGAGAAGCTCAGTTGCCTATGCCAGCACAGCGCCGGCCTCGGCTTCGATTTACTCCAGATGTTGCTTTACTTGAGGCTACAGTTAGGGGGGATACACAAGAAGGTTTGGTTTTTCTTTTTCTACTGTCGGATCTGTTAAAGATTTCGACAGACCCGTTTGGTAGAAGTAATTCGAGAGGGGTTTTTCGTCTGGCAAGACAAATTCTTGATTGGGCCAAAAAATGCAAAAATCTTAAATGTTAATTAAATTTTTATTTTTTTAGTTGAACGCCTTTTAATGGAGGGAGTCAACGCTGATTCGCACAATGAGGATGGATTGACACCTTTACATCAGGTTCAGAAATTTCTAAATAATTTTTTAAATATTTAATTTTTAGTGTGCAATCGATAACAATGAAAGAATAGTTCGCCTTTTGCTCAGGTACGGAGCTTGTGTCAACGCCAAGGATACGGAGCTTTGGACACCTTTACATGCGGCAGCATGTTGTGCTTATATTGATATTGTTCGTTTACTTATTGCACAGTTAGTTTTTTTTGTTATAAAATTTTTGAATGTTTTAAGGGTGAATTTATTTTGAAAATTAAAAAAAATTTCGCCATATGACCCACGAGCCGCTTCAAACAAACATTATGTCAGTTGAAGAGTTTGTCATGTGGAGTCCTATGACACCATAATTAACCTCGGACCTCAATTTTAAGTCGAGTTATGGTCTCATAATGGTCAAAAAATGTATGGGGACCAAGCTGATTTTGGGCTGAAAAGTTCGAATATGCGATTCCTTCTGATCGTGTTCCGACCCCCGTAGGACATTTTCTTTTTTTCTTCGTGTTAATGAAGTTCGATTAAACAACCTCCGTTCCATTCTATAAAAAAATATTTTTTCAGCAACGCAGATTTACTAGCAGTAAATGCAGATGGAAATATGCCCTATGATATTTGTGATGATGAGCAAACACTTGACCTTATTGAATCTGAAATGGCTGCTAGAGGAATTACGCAAGAAATGATTGATGAAAGGAGACAGCAACCAGAAAGGGAAATGTTGAATGATATGAAAATTTTACATCAAAGAGGATTACCTTTAGATCAGAGAAATTCTATTGATAAATCTACCTTTGTAAGTTTCTTTGTGGGGAGTGGGAGGAGGGGGCTCGTAAAGGTTTATTGGGCTCATTGTCAGTATAGAGGGGAGAGAAGAAATTGAATGAATAATTAGGAGGCCATTGGACTCATAAAGGGTTATTGGGCTCATAAACTAGACCAAAGCTTGATTCTTGTAGTTCCAAATTTGTGATATGTTCCCTAACGTTTTTGTGTTCTAACCCTATATTCAGTTGACTTGGGATCCTTTGATTTGTTTGTATTAAGTTGGCTAGTTCTAGTTCCAAGTCAACTTGCCGCCATAGGTCCTGAACCCCGAATTATAAGCCAGAAATAATTTAACAATAAGCGCAGTGTTATGGGAATCTGGACAAGAGCCAAAGTTAAAAGGCTGAGAAAATTTAAAAAAATTCTTTCCTTTAGTTACATATAGCAGCAGCTAATGGTTATTATGATGTTGCTGCTTTCCTTCTTCGTTGTAATGTTTCTCCAGCATTAAGAGATATAGATTTGTGGCAACCCATACATGCAGCTGCTTCTTGGAATCAACCAGACTTAATTGAACTTTTATGTGAATACGGAGCTGATATAAATGCAAAAACTGGGGCGGGGGAAAGCCCTTTAGGTTTGTGGTATTTTTTAGTTTTTGTTAATTTAAAAAAATTCTTCGGGGAAATCTTACAACTTCCCCGTCAAGTATCATTTGTCGATTTTATTAAAATATAAATTTTAAGAGGAAATTGGGAAGAAATTTTTAGTATTATTGACTAAATACTTTGGCCTTTTTAATGACTTTTTCCAAACTTGGTCAAGGACACTTGTTTTGATATCCATTTTGGAATAATTCCAGTTGGGCCGAATATGTATATTCGTGATGTTAATCCATACGACTATTAAGTCATGGTTGAGGAAAATCACTTCTTGGATCTATAATCTATTTTAAGTAGTTAGACAATCAACAGAAAATCTTAAGGGTTACAAAAAAATTTATTAGAATATAAATGTTTGGAGTGGAAATAAGGAGAGGGAATCCGACCGGATGTCAAACCAATTCATATCCTCGGAACTCCAAATATCGTCCGTATCCATAACCTAGTCTTATTTTTCCATATTTTACCAATTTCTTTTATTTAAAGAATTAACCGAAGACGAACCAACCCAACAAGTAATTAGAACAATAGCTCAAACTGAAGCTAGGAGGCGGCGAGGTCCAGGAGGTGGTTACTTTGGTGTTCGAGATTCTCGACGACAAAGCAGAAAGTTTATTTTAAAAATTTTTCCTCATTTTAATGAATAAATTTAGAAGAAAAAAATTCGAATCGCCCCAACAACCACCTTCAACGTTAGAAAATCCTTTCTCGGCTAGAGGTGCAATTAGACGCCAATCATTGCGAGATCGTAGCGGAATGTCTTTAGCTCGTTTGGAAGCACAAAGAGAGGGTTCTGATTTAATTAGAAGTTATAATAGTAAAGAAGACCTTTCTTCGAATCCGGCGGTTTGTTTTTGTTTTTAATGGAGTACACTATAATTGCTGTCTCTGTGGCTAGGACAGGGTGCCCGAAACACGGGATTTTTTTTTTGGATCCGATATTCTATAAACTCCGACTGTTATTTTCCTCGGCGCGTCCAAGACATTGTAAAAGTTAAAGAACATATTCTAAAAGGATTAGCATTAAAATAGGATCTCAAATATTGGTTCTTAAACACGTTTCGAACGACGCAAATCAATCCTTCCTTTTTTTGATTTCTTATTTTAGTCTTTGACGAAGGGATGGGCCAACTCGAGAAAAAAGTCGGGCCTCACTTTGGATTGACTTCGGAAAATTTTTTCGTATCACGTTTCGGGTTCCGTGTCAAAAAAAAAGTCCTGATTTTGGGTCCCGGTCCATTCCCGCCTTGGACCGCAAATGTTTCGTTCTCATTTTTAACATTTAAATATTTCTTAAGGATGATTCTTTAACGGCTGGAAGTTCTTCATATCTTCACAATCCCACAGCAGCTACTAGCGCCTCCTCTTCAGCATTACACGGCGGAAATCCACACCAACAACAACGTCGTGAATCTCCCCCTAAACGTGCATTAATGGCCAGAAGTGCTTCACACCAAAAGCAAAAACAACAAATGTCGCCAGATGAATGGCTGAAAAAATTAGAAGCAGATTCTGCCGGTTTTCGAGATGATGGAGAAGATGGAGAATTACATTCTGAACTTAAAGGAGGGCAAAGAGGAGGAAAGGGCGGTGGAGGAGGAGTGAGAGGACAACAAGGTTAAATTTTTAAAGATATTTTTTGAATTTTACAAGGGGAACTTGACGTAGGATATATCCTTGGGAAAAGATTAAAATTGAGTTGTATTTTACATAGAGGGTGTCGCCTGGATAGAGGTATCGCTTGCTCAATAGTCTTTAGAATTTCGATCGCCCCAATTCGATTTGGCGAGTTCTGGAAGATCCCTTGATAATCCCGATTCGAAATTTCCATATGTCCAGACTATTTCTTGGATCCTGACATCTGTATTGGGGTTGGATCCTGGTTCGGTTCGAAAGAGCAAATCGGTCATCGATTTTTGGCCCAAAAAAGACTCGACCGTCCGGCGCGAAAAAATGACTCGAACTTCGGCCCGATTAGAAAACCCCAACCCTAATATGGATCCATCAACAATTGCTCTGAATGTTAGCTGGAATACCCAAAAATTTTTAAAATCATAAAATTTTATTTTTATTTCCCAGAAATGAATGGCGGTCCAACAGCCACATTTGGTGTAGCTTCAAAACAACAATTAGCTATGGGTTCTGGACCTAATAGAAGGCGCAAACAAGGTTGTTGTTCTGTTTTGTGATTTTTCTTTAAATTTTTTCCAAGAAAGGCTCAACTTTTAAAAAGCTATTTAGTGTTTTTTTCTTTCCAAAAAATGATAATTTACCTTTTGTGGTAAAATTGAACTTTGTTTCCTCCCTTTCTTTCCTCAAGGTATTAAAAAGCTGATTTAGAATGTGTTAAACATTGCTCTATAGGATATAAGCACCAGTTTTGCTTTTTAGAACAATGGTTCCTGAAACCGTTCCCTGAAAACAGATCCGAAGAAAAATTTTTATTTGTACCATAACTGTGTGAACAGGGCTTTCCATTTCACTTAAAAAAATTTTTAGAATAGAGTGAACCTATTGGAAATGGAAGTAGTAATATACATCCCCAACAATAGCACCCATAGAGTAATGTTTGTAATCGTTTTTAAGTCTGACAATTTTAATACTTTGGGGAAAGAAGGGGGTGATGAATTTCAAATTTTACCCCGTTTTGTTTTTTATTTTCAATTTTTGTTTGTATTTTTTCACTTATTTTTCTTTTAATTTTTAACCAAAGATTTCTAATATTAGGGCAAGCTACCCTTTCTTGTTTTTTAATAAACTTTTATATATTCTCAACCGTCCATAACGAAATCAGTCATTTTTATATAACGTTCCCTCTAATAAATATTTTTTTAAATTGTGTATAAATAATATGGAAACATCATTTTATAATAATGTTATTTGTTTTTACAAGCGATAAAATTTATGGATTGGACAAAAATAGGTTTTTTGGGACATGATTGGTGGGAAAATTTGGATATTGAACTGAAAATTCATACCGAAACATTAGAAAGTTTAACGTATTAATCTCTTAAGTAGAGATAGTATCGAACCGATCTTCCGAATAAAAATCTAGGTCATCGAGATTGGGATTTTTTGAGACAGCAATGCTGATTTTCGTACACCCTCACCCATCCAGTCCTAAAGTTTAGGTATATTCAAACCTCTTTTTTAAATACCCCTTTGGAGCTGAAAAAACGTACCTCAACCATTTTGTTTAAACCTATCCTGAGGTAGAGATCGAGGGTATTTAGGAGATCTAGCTGGGTCTGGACCAAGGCCTGGGTTTTTCCTGTACCCAGAGTCCAGGCCCAGGCATTTTTTGACTTTCCTGGATTTTTCCTGGGCCCGGGTCTTCTTGAACTACAGGGCCAAGTCAATAAATCAAACCCTGAGTCTTTTCAAAAATCTCGATCTCTAGTATTTAGTGGTATATTTTATAAAAGGTCCGTTTATATATAAATTACAAATCCTTTTAAAAATCATCATTTTTTAATGCATTCTTCATAAAAACATTTAATGTCTTCGTTATAGATTCAGGCAATGTTGGAATTTCTTCATTTATATCCCCCTCGTCTTTATAAAATTTAATAAGTGAACCAAATGTGGGGAATCGTTGTTGAATTAATTTAGCCTTTTCCAAACTCATTCCTGGGCAGACTGTTAATTGACGTAGCCAACAATCAGAAATTGAGATTGGTTTGGGTTTTTTAGATTTTTCTTGAAGAGTTTCGAATGAAGGGCCGATTATCTAAAAGAAAGGAATTTTAATTTAAAAATAATATTGAAGCTGGGTTCCTACCATAATGTTACAAGAAAATGAGGAACTTCCCAACATTTACTCGGTAGGGAAGTTTCTGAATTCATCTTTTCTTCTAAAAGAGAAGATGAACCAGTAGGAAGAACAGAACCCAGCCGAACCCAGTAGCACAAATAGTCGGTACATGGTTAGCAAGACCCTATCAAACTTTGGCTTTACTCCATCGGTATATTTTCTAAAAACCTCCAAAAAAGCCAAGAACAAGATTTGACTTTAGAACCGAAAAAACCCCCAGGAAAATTTCTGGACGTTCCTAATATAAAAAATACTAATTTTAAGACTCAACGAAAGAAAATGGTTATGAACAAAATTTAAAAATATTCCTCATCTCTTTTCAAGATAAAACAGACCTGGTCACAGATAATACCAAAATGCCTGCGGACATCCGCCTGTATCCGCCGTAAATATCCGAATACGGATACCAAAATCAGTATCCGTGACCAGGTCTGAAATAAATGACCACGAACTCCAAAGTCTGATCTCCCAATCCCTTCCACATATTTTAAAAATAGTCAAAAAAAACCTCTTCTTTACAGCATTTCTCTTCTAATCGTTTTGTTAAAAATTGAAGAAATTTAGCCGTTCCTTGTTTATTCAAAGTTCGGTGAACCAAAAAATCGTTGTCTACACAAGTTGAAATAATTGCTTGTTCAAGAGAACGGTCACAAACATTTGTTGATCCTTCCACAATTAAAACTATATTGTTTATTCCACATTTTTGAAGACGACATTTTTGTTCCAAATAACGAGGTTCACGAATACTTTTCTTAAAAATAAAAAAATTTTTTTAATGACAAGGGGAGGCTGGCAGGGAAAATAAGAAAAAAATTTTTAGATCAATATACAGCCAGGCCAGTGTACCGTCGAGCTATGACTTCGTTCAAAATTATCGAATCCTGGACGTCTTGGTATGGTTCGATGCGCCTCGACGAGTTGAACCGAAACATAGTGATCCCCTTTAATCCCTCAGACTCACCTATAAAACTCGTAAAGGCAAAAAAATAAATAATTTGAGTTGATTATAAAGTTATAGGTCTTCAAAGTAAATAGGTCCTCAGGGTGTAGGTCTTGGGGGTGTAGGCAGGCCCGTAGCCAGGGGGGGGGTGAGGGGGGGAATTCCCCCCCCCCCCGAAATGGGAAAAAGGAAAAAATTTGGGGAAGGGCTGGGGCAAAAAAGTGAATTTTTTTGGCCTACGGCCTCTGAAATTTAAAAAATTTTCGCCTGCGGCGCTGAAAATCAAATTTTTGGCGCCTGCGGCGCCGAAAAAGTGAATTTTTTCGGCCTACGGCCTTTTAAAATTCTCAAAATTTTCGCCTGCGGCGCTGAAAGTAAAAATTTTTGGCGCCTTCGGCGCCAAAAATTTGGCGCAGAAAAAATTTTCCCCCCTTTCCCCCCCCCCCGAAAAAAAATCCTGGCTACGGGCCTGGGTGTAGGTCTTCAGGGGTGGACTCATCCAGTATACCAACCAAACTGGGTAAGGGAAGGGGGTTGGAGAAAGGAGAGCCTTAAATTGAAGAACATTGTTATTCTTTTTCGTTCAAAATAATTTTGATTCGAGTTTAATGACAGTCAGTTTTGGATTTTTAGATTGCCCTTAGGTTTTTTTATTCTAGATAAGATTTCAAAAACCATTTCAGAACCCCATTCAAAAACCTTTAATTCGGTTCCAAACCGACAACTCGAATTCAAAAAAGGTCGTTGGTTCGGAACACAGCTCTAAGAGCTAGTCATTTCAAAATAACAAGAATTTGTGGGGCCCCCTACCGAAGGGTAACCAAAAAAATTTTTTAAATACTAATAAGACAATTCATCCCAAAAATTTTAAGTCAGTGTTTCGGTACACAGCTCTAAAAGCTAGTCATTTCGAAAGAAATTCAAAAAAATTTGGGGGCTATCGAAGGGTACCAAAAAAATTTCTAAGACAATTCATCCCAAAAATTAAAAAGCAAACCTTCAAATCATCCCAAGTCTTTCTTTCAACAATATAATCCAAAACAATTTCATTTAACCTTCCAGTCTGCCAATCTTTCCATTGTAATATCCACAGATAATCCCCAACAGAAAGTTTTCTACTTTCCCATTTAATTCCTCCAGAAATTAAAAATTCTCCAACACTTTTTCCTTTAGCTCTATTTCCTTTTGAAATTTCTTCTCGATTATCTGATATTAAAATTATAGAACTTTCTATATTTTCTGAAGGAGAATAATAAAGTTGTTGGTATTGGTGCTCTTCTGAAATACTTTCAGCATCAGAATCTTTTTGATTGAGTTGATTGGAATTATTCGACAGTGAATGAAAAACTGTAAAAAGAAAAAAATATTTAAAGGTATTAAATTAGCGATTAGAATAGACGACCACTAGGAGCTTACAAATTTCCGTGATGTTGATTTTAGTTCAGGATAATGACTAGATTCTTAATCTTGAGTCAAGGAAAAATCAAGGAAATCTAAAATTCCTTGAACTTGACTCTGGACACAGGAAAGATCGAGGAGTGGATCCAGGCCGACCTCTTGTCTACTAGCACCTGGGCGATCGTAGCAATAATAGCCGAGACTATAAACCTCACAAAGCCCTCCTCCCCTACGTGAGCCTCAGATTTAACCCTTCATTCCTTGCCATCAAAAAGGAGACTTCTTTTCTTTTTAATCAAAAAGGAGAAGGGGGATTAATTTTAAGACTTAAATTAAGGGCCGTTAAAGACATTCAAATAAACTCCCCTTTAAATTAGGGTTGGACAAGACCGGTTAATTTTTTGTCTTTGACGGTTCAACTAGAGGAAATTAAGAGCATTTAAATAGCTACAGGCGAAAAGTTAATCGGTCATGTCCAACTCTAGTTTAAATATAAATTTAAAAACAAAACCTTCAATTTTATCCATTCTTGTAGATGTTGTAGGTTCACAAAAATCATCATTATTCGAATTATTTTTTGTCAATACCAATTTTGCCGGCGATCTTTTTATTGGGGATGATTTTGCTTTTTCTTTAATATTTTTTGAATTTTTGTTGTGAATAAAAGGTAAAGAATTTCCTCTTTTTTTATTAAAAGCATTTGCTTCACTAGCTGTTTCTTCCAAAAATTTGAATGCTTGTCCAGGCTCCAATTCTTTTATTTGATTAATTGAAGGGGTGATGCCTGGGAATAAAACTTCACAGGCTCTTTGCCAAGCAGTATCCAAACGTGTGGCTATATCTTCGCCAATTCCTTGAAAAGAAAAAAAATTTTTAGATGACGCTCTCTATAAGACACTCCCAATATTAGATCTACCTCTATTTAACAGACATTTTTTAGAATGTGGTAAGGCATCGGGTGAGGAAGTCATCTAAACCAAACTCTCTATTTAATGTACAACCCATTATGAGGTATGATTTTTACCCCCAAAGGCATGCTTCTAACTGAGGTTAAATAAAAAAATAATCAAGTTAAAAGGCAAGCGGACCCGAACCAGTGATGTCCCTATCGTCGGATCCCAATCCTATCTTCGTCAAACAAAATATAAAAGGCAATGGACCAGGTTACCCGAAACCCCAACTTTTCTACTATAACCTCAAACTGAAGATTTCTAAAACCCGACCAGAAATCCGACAAGATTTTTTTGAGAACTTGACCAATCCCTACCCTCCACAAACTAAAATAAATATCTTATTTCAAGAAACCTCACTCAAATCCTATTCCTAAATTAGGTAACTTAAAAATACTAAAAAAACCTCTAATTTTCCTCAACTCTCCATGTCCATGAACATCCAAAGGAAATAATTTTAAATTATTCAAAGCTTTCCTAACAACATAAGCATGGTTACGATCAGATATATTCTCTCTCCATTCATTCAATACTTTCTCATAAAATAATTTTTCTGGGAATTGAAGTGAAACTTTTACACGTCTTTTGTTGTTCAAATTGCTTCTTTTATTGTTAGTGTTGTTGTTAGTGTTCATTAAATTGTTAAATATTCTCTCTAAATCTGTATTAAATTTATTAGAATTTGATGGTATAAGTTTAACAAGTGCGAACGGCAATTCCAGATAACGTACTTATTCTATTAGAACCAACGTCTCTATTAGAACCACCGTCCTAATAAAACCACCCAAAATGGAGGGATTGAAAAATAGAACCACCGGTGGTTCTATTAGGGGAGATACGGTATGTATGACAAATATAAACTTTTTCGGAAATCGCCCGGAGTGTCTAGGTTCGGCTGACATCCCAGACAGGTAAACGCATGTACGCTTACCTCAATAATGCTTTATTTTTTAAAATTACATATATCCACAATTGTTTTGTCAGGAGTCCAAAAGGATTGCCGTTCGCGAGTGTCATAATTAAGATTGGCAGATCCTTGGAACTCCTCTGATATCCGGAATGATATCTACACCGAAATTATCCGGATATCTGGATTTTTTTCGGATCCGGGTATCGGATCCGGATCTGTCAACCCTGGTCATATCACCATTCAAACGAAAAAACAAATTATTTCAAGAGATTAAAATAGAAATTGGTCTAAAACCAATAAAAATAAAAAATCAAAAAATATTCTTTTTGCGAAAAAAATTTTTTTTTGCATTTATGAAAGGCAAAAAGATAAATATAATTATACAAAAGCATATGAGCAAAATCGACCGGTAAACGGGGGATTAAAAAAAAATATGTGTGTGTAGATAATAAATCCGGAAAGAAAACTTTTATGGAGGGAAAAAATTCAAACAGTTTAATATTTACCCCCAAGCAGGCCTCCAACCTGCAACCTCATGGCAGTTATTGCTTGACGCCTTCGTTTACCACATCTACTGACTGAGATAACGGAACGCTACTTTCACCTTCTCTTTTTTAAAATACATACTAACTTATAGACCCTTGTGTGTCTAGTAAACGTTTTTAGAGCAGTTGAACCCTCCTGATCTAAAAAGGAGGTCCAAGGTCTAAAAAATCCCCGGCCCTCCTAACCTAAAAACCCTTGGACCCTCCATCCCCTCCCTTCCTAACCTAAAAACCCTTGGATCCTCCCTCCCTTCTTACAAAAGAAGGAAGTTTTCTTCTTTCAGATTTTACAAAATAAACAGAGGTCGAAAACAGCAACAAAGACAAAAAACCTAAATAAATACTTCTCTCTTCGTTTCTAAAAATTTAAAATTCGGATTCCGGTCCCAGAGAGAAGTAAATAAATAAATATAAAAAAAAATTTAAAATAAAAAAAGAAAAAAAAAGCTAATTTAAATTGCTCCACAAAATGAGCATTTTTCGTTTAAAAATTAATTCTCCGATTTTAATCCATGAATACTACAAAAATGAATTCGAAGCGAAAACAAAGTAGGAACTTGAGTAGACCCCAAATTTGTTGTTGATTTAACTGAAGAAGCTGGATAATAAAAAGGTGGAGAAGATTTTGTATTGTTCCCTCCTCCATTTTTATTGGAAGAAGAATCGCTTCCTCCTGTCCCTCCTCCAGGATGAGATCGTTTTAAAGGGGAACCAACTGATGCTGGGGTTATTATTGTTGTTGAATCACCGCTACCGCTACAAGTTCCCCCTCCACCTCCCCCACCTCTGAATATTCCAAAACGTTCCAAAAGTTTTGTTTGTTGTTGTTGACGAAGGAAAAGACTTTTGCCTGTTGACGTTTTGTAAATGTTTAAACCTTCGTTGACAACACTTTCTGGGGGTTTGTAATGAATGAAGAAGTGGAGAGGCTGAAAAAAGTTTCCGAAAAACTTGAAAACCCTTTGTTTCTCGTTACCTGATTGCTCCAACCCTTTTGTGTTTTGTCACCATTAAACAAGTCTGCAGCGCCCAATAAAAGTGCACTAGTACTAATACGGAGACGAACAACATTTGAATGTCTATTTAAGTTACAAGACAATTCCTCGATTGATATAGGGCCATAAATACATTTTGCCTGTTAGAGTAAAAAAATATTATACAAACGGACCTAACTATAAGATAAATCATTGGATAAGCCACACACTTAAATAGAGTGCATGGCTTAGCCAGCTCTCCAACCAAATGGCCCACTAAATTTACAAAAACCGTATCCTAAATCGAGGTATATCTAGTATTGGGTGTATCCTATAGTGAAATCCGTCAGTATAAAATAACCCAATAAAAGAAACACCTCTATATTAAACACGTCTTTAAAAATTGGTTATCCAATAAGTGTGAGAACTGCCTAATCTATACCCTCTATTTAAGATACTCCTCATTATAAGGTATTATTTTTCCATCCCTACTAAGGATTTAACTATGATGACGTCTGTAAAAATCTTTACATTTTCCTCCACAAAATTCTCAGGATTTTCTCCCAACAAAGAAAGAAGCATTTGTTTGTTATGCGAAGCAGAAAAACTGCCTGAACTGCTGCTAATCTTAGCAAATAATCTTTTGATTGCATCACTGTCTAAAAGCCAAATACTTAAAAATCCTCCAATTTGTGGTTGAGAAGATGGAGAAGAATAATTGGTAGTAGATCCCAAAGAAATTTCGATATGGCTAACAGGCATTATTGGCTAAAAATGGGAAAAAAGTGAGATTAGGCAAGTTAAGAAATTAAAAATTAAATTTTTATGGAAGGGTCGTCCTTTGTACTGTTTAAACTATATATCTTAAATAACTACTCAAGATACTGGAATAATGTTTTCAATTCAGAACCGAACCGAAGCTCGGATTTTCAGTCGGCTCCCATAGAAAAATAAACAGTTAGGGCTTCTATTAGAATGGAATATAATGGAAATGGATATTGATTTGCATTCATTTTACTAGAGGAAAAAAAGATTCCTTCCTTACATCAGATTAAACAGATTTTGCCAATAATCAAGAACCAACTTGGTCAAAAACAACTCTAAATAAAAATACAAATGATAGGAAGAAAGAAAATTACCCCATCATTTACAAGAATATTTCAAAAACAAAATTTTTTACCGGCATAGAAAATTCAAAAACCAAATTTTGATCCGAAATATTCGAAGCAGCTATAGGAAATGTAGTTTCTTCTATACGAGAAAATGTCCAAACAGTTCTTGTATTTTGTAATTTTGTTGATGCTTGTTGCTCTCCCCCTCCTCTTTTATCGTCAGACATTAAAGATGTTGATGAACAAGTAAAAGTTGAGGTTGCTGTTGTTGGACGTCTGGAACGGCGTTGGCGAGCAATTGTTGTATCTATCCAGTTTGAAGGAGCATGGACTTGAATTTCATTTGCTAGTAGGGTATTCCAACTAGATCTAGAAAAGAATCAGTTGGACCTCGATATAAGATACTCCCATGTGAGTGGAAGGTTGTGCCTTATGAGTTGTAGCTTAAATTGAGGAGTATCGCTTAGAAAACTCTTGCCATCTAGAATCTACCCAAAAAACTACCTTAAAGGGTTTCAAGAATATTGGGTATTATAGGAGGAATGTCACGGGTTGAGAAAAAAGTTGGGGTTTCGGGTAGGCTTCGTTAAATTTCACAGGTAGTGTCACTTAATAGTTAGCGGAGAAAAGGGTAGGCGCAAGGAAATGGACATCGGCTACTAATAAACCTCAGCTGCCAACAATGTCCTAGCGGATTCGGAAGAAGGGGTCCCAGATTGAAGAACAGCAATCCAACCCAAGCTTTCAGTCTGATTTTCGGGTCGAAAAAAGTCAGGGTTCGACTTAACCACGACACTCTTGTATTATGGTAAGGTCCACTGTTTTAAAGTTAAAAAACAAACGTTTCCAAAAATGTAGAAGCAGTAGAACATTGAAAAGCAGAAGGCAAAGAAGCTGCCCCATGCAGTCTTGTTAACGACCATAAATTTTCAAGTGAATCAAAAGATGAAAAAGTTTTATCATCAGCAGCAAGCATGCCATCCAAAGAAGAGGAAGAAGCTTCTGTCAGTTCATTTTGAAGTTGAAACTCGCCAATAGAAGATTTAGAAGAAGCCGCTTTGAGCGCATTTGAAATTTCTTAAAAATTAAAATTTTTTTCATAAAATTATTAGAAAGTCAAAGGTAAGATTATTTGACTTATTAAGATAAAAAGATAATTAAAATTAATGAGAAACAATTTTTTTTAAAAATGGGATTTGTCTAAAAAACACACAACATAATTATAGAGATGAGGGTATAACGATTCAAACCTCTCGACGTTTTTTGAGCTGGGAATCCGATTCCCAAAAATCAGAAAGGATCCCTTGGGTTTTTTTGTCGACTGGATTCCTTAGGTATACCCCCGAAGGGCTTCAACCTTCACCTGAAATTGTGTGAAACCAAAAGATATTTGCAGAGAAAGATAAAAAGATTAAAGAAATTCTGACTTGTTGACCATATAAAAATAAAGGTCAAATCGCTTTCAATTTTCCTAATAAAAAATTTTTTTGTTAGCCCCTTCCCCTCACAATTGTTCCCCTCAAATATTTTTTAGAAAAAAAAAATTAAAAAAAATACCAAAGAAAATCTTTTCGTTTCTCTCATCGCCAATAACTGGAGGAAATGGAAGCTTTACATCAAAACACAAAATTCGCCCTTTGCTAGTCAAAACCACAATTTGATCCAACTCTGATCGTCCCTCACTAGAACATAAAGCTATGTCAGAAGCAATCTGTCCATCTTCAGAATCTTTTGGATCAAATATTGGCATAGAAAAACCGCTGTTTAAGTCGAGCAAAATGACTTCACCACAAGAGAAACGCTAAAAAATACAAAAAATTTGTCAATTTGAGATACAGGTGGGACTTTGCCTAAGTGACAAGAGTATAACCAAGAGGTCGGATTTCAGGGTGGGGCCATAATGGGGTATGCGTCAACCGTTTACTTTGGCGCTACGAACGCACATTTTTAGTTCCTATATTTAAGTGCTGTAGTCTGGAAAAATTCACCTTACCGATCATACTTGTCCCAACAACTCTTCCCTATTTCTGGAAGGAGGGAGGAGGTTTCTGGCCTTGTCTCCAGCCCCCTGAATAAGCCTATGGTACATAATACCTTTAATAACAAATTTTCCTACGCCATGGGTATCTAAAAGTGAGGGTGTTTGACTATCAAAAAAACCTTACAACAACAGCTGATCCAAGAACTTGTTTATTTTCTTTATGTTTTTGTGTTCGATTATGTCCTTTATTATCTTCGTTCAATTTCTGTTGTCGATAAATTCCAAAATAGTCAATTGAAAGGAGTAAAATTTGTGCAATCTTTTTTAGATTTTGAAAGAAATATTTACGCAGACAAATTTCCTTTAGAAAAAAATTTTTTTTAGAATTTAAATAAAAAATTTAAACAATTTACTTGTAACATGTGAACAACTTCCATTCGAGAATAAATTACTATGGAGGAAGAATTGTCTGAAAGGGCATACCCATCACTAACAGAGTTTACACCCAAAACAACATAGCCATCTGGATTTTCAGTAGCAACAATGTGGTCAATCTAAAAAAAATAATAAAATTTTCGAATCCCAAACATTATTATAGTTCATTCCGATTATCGAAATTAGGGACCGGACCGGGACGAGATTTCTTGGTATATCGATCTCAATTCTCGCACTACCTTTCCAGTCCGGTCTCTACTCAAAAAGCATCGAACCATACCAGGGATTGGACGGATTGAGAAAAAATCGGATTAGGTTTCGGATCAGGTTTCGGGTAAGCCGTCCTATCCCTGAACCCCATACTGGATTCGAAACAATTATTTTAAACAAAGTGCGATGTAATGGACTCGCGGGGAATGGCCATTCAAAGAATATAATGGATATATTTTTAATATTTAAGGGTCCCGTAATTTAAGTAAGTTCTTACCCGAAAATTGCTAGAATCCAACTCATCAGGAAGTCTAAAACATTGCATAATAATTGTACTAACATCATGTTGTTCGTAAAGAATGCTAACCTAAAATAGAAAAAATCTTTAAAAATTTTATTATTTTTTAGAAACCTTATTTTCAGAACTCAAAGATTGTTGTAATGGAGCATCAAAATAACTTGAATCGACGTGATTTGTATTGTCAATTTTTTCTGTATCGCTAACATTTTCATTGGGTTTAAGCTGGGAATCAATTATGTATTTAGCCAAAGCTGGTTTTTTATATGGGTATTCGGAATTGAGAAATTCGGCAAGTTCAGCACTAAAAGCTGCCGTTTTTTCTTGAAGTTTTTTAGTTTCTGCTACTGAAATTGAAATAAATAGCTTTATAAAAAGTTAGAGAGATCGATTACATATGGCAAAAACCAGAAGTTTAAAAAAGGAAAGGGGTCTTTACTGAAATCTAAATGTCAAAGTTTGGGTTAGACCCCCCTTCAGACGCTGTATTAAGAATAGGGTTGTTGGGCCCATCCGGCCCGGTCCGAAGGATCGAGTCGGACATTAAATTTTGGCCCGAAAAAGACTCGGTCGAGCCGGCATGATAAAATTGAGGCCCGAAAAAATGACTCGAACGTCGGCTCGACTCGAAAACCCCAACCCTAATTAAGGAAAATGAATATCATTAAACGTCGCATCAGATCGGGCCCTTTCCAAGGCAAAAAGCTCAATGATAAAACAATTGTTATCAAACCAAACCTTTTTATAAACCAACCAAAAAACTTACATAAAACTGCAGTTTCCTGTGAAAAATAGTCTTGATTCCTTTCCTCATTTAAATCCTCAATAATACTTTGTTCCATTTGTTCTTCATCCTTATTATTATTTTTAGATTCTTCCATATCTATTGACTGTTTTTGTTGTTGCTCACAATCAGGAATTAAAGTTTCAGCCAAATGGTAAACTAGCAAGAAGGGGCACCGAGCCGCATTTTTTGTGTTACTAGCAATAAAGTGATCACCGCCTCCAACAGTTAAAGAATTTATAACATTCATGGCATTAATTTCTTCTGTCATACAAGTTCGATTATTCGATTGAATTTTTGTCTTTAGAAAAAAATATATTTGTTGTTGATATAATTTAGGGAATGCAGACATATCAGGACAAACACATCGAGGGATATTTTCAATGTATTAACACTTACCCCCGGGCCAATGACTCATGGCTATTAATTGCCCTACTGACAAGGAAGAAACCATCGTTTACTTTGACTTAGTGATGCTCGGGTATCCCGATCCCGAGGTCATTTCCGACCCGACTCCCGTTTCCCGGGTTTTTTCTTCTCCCGATCATCGTTTACTGTGACTGCGAATTTGATATATTTTTTGGTACCATTCGATAGAGTATCCTCGATTTACTATTGTTGAATGCGGGTTTTCGTGCAAAATTAGTTTGGGCCGAGTTATGGCCGTTCAGAGTTCCCAGTAAACGATGGTTCCTTGTGAAGAAAAGATTTACGTTTTCGAACCAAGGTAAACACACAAGAGGCTATTTTTCTCTCACAGCAATCCCAATATGCCTGCACGCCATAACAAGTAACTAAAAAAACCTCATCAACAGAAATTCCAACAAAAAGAACAGCAGTGATTTTGCTTGAATTTGACGTCATTTCAACGTTACAATCCATTGCATCAGTTGAATCACCTAATAGATGCTGTCTAGAATCTTCTCGATTATCACTAGGATCGATTCCAACGCCTGCTGAACAGATTGCTGTGATCTTTAAAAAAATTTTTTGTTAAAGAAAAAACCCTTCCAAAAAACCTTAACAATTCGATTATCAAAATTTTCAGGAGAAATGGATACATGAGGACTTGGTTGATGTTGCTTCAATTCTTCATCTTCCTGATCTTCAATTAATCCAGGAGAGACCATTTCCTCTTCCCTTTCATCCTCGAAAGCTTCTTCAGCAATATTTTGGTCAAGCAAAAGAATACGTTCCAAAGGTTGTTGTTGCTGTTCTATAGTCATTACTGTTGGCTCATCGCTCCAAGTTACTCGTCTTTGTTGAGCAGCAGCAACAATTACATTTGTAAGAGTTTCAATTGGAGGAAGAGACTGTGGAGGCGCTGGTATATTTGGAGGTTTAAGTCCAATGGCATTGGAGAGAAAAGGGTCGAAAGTGTCAACAATTAAAGTATTAACAGCCTATAATTAATAAAAGATTAAAAAAGATTAAAAAAGAAAATAAAAATGGTAATAATTCGTTTTATGCCCAGCGGATTCTTTCCCAAAATTTCTTCTAGTTGTCTGTGACCAAAAAAGGAATAATGATTTGAGCATAGGCCTAACAATAGGCTAGCTTAAATCAAAACGGAATCAAAATCCTTTTCTGACAGGCTGCAAAGAAGAATAGGATGATAGGAGGTATGATGATTTTTTGATAGGATGCAAAAAACAAATAAATCTGGGGTTTTTTTCTTTTACAACCGATGGAGTTTTACGGGTAAACCCCCTAAAAACGAATCAAGATGACAAGATTTCCATGGTATAGGATCCAAAAACCCCTGTCCGTCCCCGTTCGAACTCTAACATAAACCCACATATTATCCCAAAAAAACAAAACAAAAACCTGTGCAACTTTGTCCAAATGGATAAGATTGATTTGAGGTTTATTACTCGAAGGATCAGCAAAGGCAAACCATAAAGATTTTGTTGTCATCGTTCCAATAATTAATTTTTCACAATTATTTTCTATAGTAGATTTTTGTTGAGATTCAACTTCGTCATTCCATTTTAATGGAGCCAAACTTGACATTGTAGCAGCAATAGGAATGTTTGTGGAAGAGAGTGGAGCAGTCAAAAATTTGCAAGAGGGAGAGTGTCTCTCGTGTTCCTGACTGTTTTTTGATTTGAAAAATTTGAAAAAAAAATTCTCAAAAAAATACTAAGGGTCATCATCCTGTTCCCAGCTAATAAGGCAAATAGAGCAAGCAAAGCACATTACTTTATCATCACCATCACCTTAGGTTGAAGATAAAATCCAGCTTCAGACATTCTGGACGAGGATGTGTATCTAAAAGAAATTTTTTATTTAATTTTCTTAAGACGAAGAAATTTATTTTTATTATTGCTATGAGCAGTAAGGGTTGTCAGTTCTTGACTACAAGGAAAGGGTGTGAGGTGTCCGCCCTAAAAACGGTCGAGACCGGGCTCATTAGATAGAGAATTTGTCCTTTCTAGCAAGGATTTTGTGCCGTTTTTTATCATGGCCAGATCAGAAAACGGGTAAAAGCGGCTCAAAATCCTTGCTAGGAAGGGCACGTTCTCTATCGAATGAGCCCAGTCTCGACCGTTTTTAGCTCGGACACCTCGCAACCTTCCGTGTAAGGGTGTAACCAGCAGCAATAGGAATTAACTAAAATCTAATCTAAAAATTCTCTTAACTAAGGTCTTGAAAAATCTCCAAATATCCAAAAACGATCTGAATAATGAAAATCTCTCTCGATTAAAAATCTCCGCTTCTTCAATTAGGTTTTGAACCGGCAATCCTATAACCGACAACCCATAAGGCAAACGGGTTTTGAAAAAAATTTTAGACGGAAAAATAGAACACAAACAGAAGCGCTATTACGTAATCCCGATTCCTCTACCCAGGCCCGTAGCCAGGGGTAATTTTTCCCCTTTGCCCCTCCCCCCTGAAAAAAATACTGGCTACAAGCATGCCTCTACCTCAACTAAATTTTAGGAAAATGGGAAAATTCCTTCTTATATTTCACAGAATATGTCTCTAAAACATTCAATTAAAATCAGATTCCAAAAATTCTCCTTACTTAAAGTCTTTATGAGGCCATCGGTAGAAAGAAAGACGTCTAGCAGATTCCACATTCATCACATCTTTAGATATTGAAGAAGTAACATGCATCAAATCACCAACTTCTTCTGTCCTAAATTTACCAGAAAGACGACCGTCAAAGGGTGAATAAGGTTTAAGTGGACAAAGTAAAAGCTTTAACAAAAAGAATTTTAAAAAATTTTAAAAATAAAAAAAAATACTCGAAGCCGTTCTAGCAACAAATAAGCATAAGAAAATGAAGCAAAATCATTATTCAAAGGAGGACGTTTCCGATCTGCAGCAATCAAAACATTCAATTCAACAAACATTTGCATGATATTCATGTCGATGACAGCTGCTGCGAAGTCCTGTAAATATAGAAAAATAAACAAAAATGTGTTTTAGGAGCAAGTAGCCCTGGAAACCACGGAAGCCTAAAGCTAAAAGGCATTAAACCCAAAAGCCCAAACTACAGGAGAAGCTTTTAAATGGAAAGAATGAAACTTAATTCTTGCTTAAAATAATCTAAAAAATTTTAAGGGTTGTCTTTTCAATTCGACACTACTACATAAGCGGCGCCGGACCGGCTCCACCCGAATTTTTTTGGAGTTCGAGTCCCAAATGAGTGTTAATTTGCAAGTTCAGGCTTATTTCTCAACATGATTAATCGGCAGAATCCGGCCAGATCCGGAGCAACTCTAGTTACAAATTCAAACACGACTCCGGAAAAATCGATTTTGCCACGAACTATTAACCATTACTCCCCAAAAGGAAATTAAAATGGCCCTCTAAAGATAACAATTCCCAATAAAACTTCTCCCCATTCTAAATCAAAGCAAAAAAATAATTAAAAAAATCCCAAACCGATTTTCTACTTTCAGTACTTCTTTGATTCAAAGCCATGAGGAACTTTTTCATCTCCGGCGCCCGTTGCAAATCCTGTGATGAAAGAAAGCAACGCCAAATCATCTCCTCCCCAACTGCAAATTCAACAGGGAAAACATCTTCTAAATCGACAACTCTAGTAAGCATATTAGCCATATGGAATTGGCCGTTATATTCACGGCGGGCACACACTAATTGTTCGTCTAGAGCAATAATTGATCCAAAAAATTGATTGTAAGCAAGCTGAATTTAAAAAATAAAAAATTTGCAAAACGAGCTTTGCTTCTTCGTTAAGATTACCACTTTTCGGTCATCTTTAAAAAGGTTATGGACAATAAAATTTTCAAGTATATCCTATCCAAAACATAACTTCAGAATGCATTCTGATTTTCAATATATGTTTGATGTCCCATAACATTTTTAGTGTTTAAGATTGGTCTTGGACACTCCCCAATCTTAATGCTATAAATATCAACTTCAAAGAAGCCTATTATAAATAGAAGACACCCCCCCCCCCCAACATGCTTCCTACACTCACAAATGATGAGGATCAGGGTTTGTGGATCCTGGGAAATTTATTGATCCAATATCCGAAACAAAATCTCTAGATATCCACTTATTCGGACTCGATCCGTCAACTCAATCGTGGAACCCAAAAAATTTTTTAGAACCCTAGGAAAAAATAAACAACGTCAAACGACCCCTAACCCCCTTGGGATACCTGTCCTAAACCCTAACCCAAAACAAAACAAACACCAAACCTTAACATGTCTTTTGTAGTCAGCAATAGTGCAAGTAGACCCATCAATCCTTTCATCAATTTTCTTAACTTTTCCAGATTTTAAAAGGACAAGAAAATTTCCAATAGCATCCAAAGGTATAATTTGTTGTGCAACATCCTCTTCTTCACAATTTAGTTGAGAACGAATACTTGAAAAAAATTTAAAATTTATTTAAAAACAAAAAAATACTCTGTGGTACACGAAACAGCAGGCAAGCTATTGGCAAAAATATTGGTATCATTGGTAGATTTTGAACTCATTTGGTATTTTTAAGTCTTGTCTAAAATTTGAAAAAAAATGTTAAATTTAATAAAGGACAAAATTAGAGGTCGGTAAAAAATTTTTTTAATGTTCGAAGGTGGCCATATCTAGCTCGCGTTCCCTCCCAAGTAAAATCGCAGCGTTCCCAAAATCCTTTGACTGGAGTTTTTCCAAAATGCCGTGAGGGTGTGGGGGACTCCGCAGGATTACTCCCTTAAATCCCCGTAGATCTCGGTAATCCCGTTTGGCGTTTAAAACCCCGAGATTCCAGGACAGGATCCTGTAAAATCCCGCTCGGGCTCCTCTCATACTGACCTCTAAATTGAATTAGAACAAAAAGAAAGTTGACTAAAAAACAAAGAAATGAGTCATCCAAATATACATCCCTGAAGAAATTGAGTCGGACAACAATGAAAAAAATCAAAAAATCTATCAAAAAGAGACAATAGCTTTTTAACGCAAAAGTGCTAATTCCAAAAAATACAGATGACAAAAAAACTTGGTAATGCCTATTTAGGCGCAAGGGCTTTAAAAATTTTCTATTTTAAATGAGCCTGCGCCTAAGTGTCCCAAAACCCTTTGGTCAGTTGAGTGCTGTCCGGTGAGAGCGGGGAATGAAGCCAAGCCAGTTGAGTGTAGCCGGTTGAGTGTCCAAACTAGAAGAGTCGGTTGAGTGCCAGTGAACGGGGATTGGTGATAAGACAATTGCGTATGCGACATTTGCGGAGACAGTGAACGTCAGTTCGGGCTGTAGATGACATTTTGGTACAAAAAAATGAAAAATTATTGAGGTCATCTACTTTTTTTTTTATTAATACCTCTTGGGTCAAGAATCAAGATTATGTTATTCAAAGTTTTTACTAATTTGTGTAAGTAGTGTGCCCGGTGAGAGCGGGAAATGAAGCCAAGCCAGTTGAGTGAGAGCGGGAAATGAAGCCACTATCTATGAACCAGAGGTGAATCGGAAACGAAGGTGCCGAAATAGGAACTATCGGAAATCGGAATTCCGAGATTCACCTCTGCTATTGACTTATACTAGTCTCATAGTGTTTTCTTATTTTCGGAAAACAAAAATATTTTTAAAAATATTTATCGAACCGTCAAACAAAACAAAAGAAACAATTCTTTTCGATATAAAAATTTATAAATGATTATGCTTGATAAAGTTATAAAAAATATTTTGTTGATGTGACTGTTTAATTAATTAAAAAATTGTGGGGGCACTTTAAATTTTTAAAGTAAACAGAAGGCATATATATTTTTTAAAATAAAGAATTCTGAAGAAAGAAAAGTTAAAACTAAATCTGAAAAATTTTTTGATTCGTTTAAAGACAATTAAAGATTTTTTTGAAAATAAATTTACACAGAAATAAGATATACAATAATTGTCAGGCAACAATGTAAAATAAGCACAGAATTAAAAAAATACATTCAAACCCTCACTTTTAATTACCCCTCTCAATACCCTTCTATTTAATATATAGCTTTTAAAATTTGGTAGGCCATTGGGTGGGGTAGATGCCTAAAGGATGCCCTCTATTTAATATATCATATTATAAGGCACCCCTATTTAAGATACCCTCTAGCTGAGATACACACCTCATTATAAGCCCCTTAGCTAAGATAAAAAGTACGCCCATTTAGAGTGTAAAAGTCATTATAACGTCATTGACGTGTTTTCTCAACAACATATAAAATGAGAGCCCAAAATACAACCGATTGTGCCACCATTCAACCAAGATTATGGGTTATTCATTAATATTCTTCACAACAATAAGGTACCCCTCTATTTAATGTACATCTCATTATAAGACACCTGCTATTTAAGGTACACCTCACTCACTAAAAGACACCATCTCAATGTACCCCTCAATATAAGACACCCTCTATTTAATGTACATCTCATTATAAGAACTATTTTTCCAACCTCAAAGGGAGTGTCTAAAAAGGAGGTTTGACTGTTTAATATATAATTTTAAAAATCAACAAAAATTATTTTAACTTTTAAAAACACCTTTTGAGCATTAAAACTTTTCATTTTCTCTAAATTGTTTGAGTCCCCAAACAAGCTTCTCCCAAACAATTACAATCTGATGTGGAATGTTTTCTTTGTAAATTTCGCCTTTGCCTTTGAAGTTGAATAAATTTTTTGGTTTCATTAAAAAAGAAAACTGTTGAAGAGAGAAGGAGAAGAAATAATAAATCTGAAAAAAAAGCAAATAAAATTAAGAAAACTGTAAAAAGATTAAAGCTACAACCAGGGCCCGTATCATAAGAGCAAGTTGTTAAAACGGTATTATAAAAACTTGGTCATTTAACCCCTACCCGGAGGTATTTTCGTATCATAAGAGCGTCTGTCTGGTATTTTTCTTCTTCTTGCTTACAATGAATTCCCTTCTTATGATTCCAATTTTCCCGCTCGATAAGAGTTAAACAACCACGAACCACGTTCTTATGATACGGGCCCAGGTATACTCAATAAGATTGGGTGGGGGATCCTGAGAAATCCCCGGATCCGATATCTGTGTAGAAAATTTCGGATATCCTTACCTTCTTGGTCCAAATATCCGAATCGTCCAACCCAAATGTCTACGGATGTTCGTACATCCGATCCACGACATCTTATTTCAGGTCAGGATCAAAACTAGAGAGTTGGCTTATTATTACCAGAATTGAATTCTAATCGAACATAAGACGTTAAAAAGGCCGGCTAGCAAAAAGCGAACGCTAAAACACCCGCTTAGAAAATATTTTTAAATGTTAGCCAGTTAGATCTCCCTACTTCCTTACAAAATTTTGCCGAAAAATAAGGCTCATAGATACCTAAAAATGCTTTCCCCCCAAAAATTATCTCTCAAAGACTTTTTTAAATTTAAATTTAAAATACCAAAAATAGTAAGTGCTTCTGTTTGAAAAATATGTTGCAAAGGTTTAAAGTAAATAACCGCCAATTGACATAAAAGAGAGCCAACTAATGCAAGGCAAAACATTCGATTTCTTAAAAAATTTTATTTAATTAAAATTTTTTTTTAAAAAAAAATACCCAAAAAGTCCAATTTCCCAAATCATTTTTCGACTACTTCGACAACTCAAAGCATTCCACATATCAAAAAGAACAAAACAAGTAAATGTCATTGTTGTATCACGAGGAGTTATTTTATTATCTGCTGCCATCTAGAAATAATTTTAAAATTTTTTAATCAAAGACCGGACTGTTCCGGTAATATGAAGTCGTAGGGCCAAGCATCTTTCTTAACTTTAACCAGGGATGCCACGGTTTATTAGCAGCCTAATACCCGAAACCTGATCAATTTTTTCAGTCAGAAACCCGATCCCTTTTGCTAACAAGGAAACATTTTGAACTCGACCGCTGCAAAATTCAAAACCTTTAAAGCCCTATAACTTTTCGAAATGGAAGTCAGGGGAAGAAAAGCCAAAAATTGGCAATAGGTTATCGACCCTGCTCTATACGATGGTGCAAAAAAAACTACAAAATTTTCACAACAGTTCAAAATGTTTCCTTGTAAGACCGTGACATCCTTGAACATACACACTCATATGATACTCACAATCAGAGTAGGGATGGACTCTCCATGCATTTTAAAGATTAGAAGACGGAACAGAAATAAACAAGTAGAAGAAAAGGAAGAGTAGAAGGGTCAAAAAAAGGAAAATTTTGAGGAAATTGGACCCTTGATCTCTAAAATACCCGGTCTAGGGTCTTGTCAAGACAATTTAATACTGGGCAAGATCTCTCAAAAAAATAAAAAAACCTCTTTATAAAATACAAAAAGTGTTCCAGATATAATTATTGCTGCAGAAGATATTATGCTAATAATGAGTGATCGGTTGATTAACGGCTCTCGCACATTACGCGGTGGCTGTTTAATTATGTCAGCATCAACGTTTTCAACACCAAGGCTTTGGGCTTAATTAAAAAAAATTTTTTTTTGAGAAAAATAATCAAAAGTAAAGAATTTCAAGGAACCGAAAAATATTTTTTGGCAAAAAATTATAAGTTCTTTTCCCGAGTCGAGCATAATTTTGAAATTAGGATAGTTGACTACCGTTAACCAATACCATCAATTTTTAATTAGTGTTGTATCCTGACAGCTTGAGGGCGCGTTTGTCGGGGTTCTTTGGAGTATGAATGACAACAACTTGTTAGCGTTATGCTGTCAGTCATACTCCAACGCACCCTGAAAAACGCGCTTTCAAGCTGTCAGGGCACAATCCTATTTTTAATTATTCCGATTTTTAAATTTTGGTTTCCGATTTAAGTCAAATACTGGTTTTATTGTGTCGACATTTTAAAAAGAAATTTTTCAAAGAATTTTTCAAAAATTTTCGGCTTTCATCTTTTCATAAAAACATGTCAATTTTTAGGCGAAAAATCAAAATTTGGGGTTTGATCAAATTCGAAAGATCAAATTTGGTTTAGACTAGTTCTTGGACTTGAACCAGTCTAATTGAAATAAAATATTTCAAATTCTAACGCGAAAAGGTATCAAAAATAAATATAGAATTAAGTTAAAAAAACCTGGAGGTCCATCCATAATTATATTAATCCAAAGAATCTGCATTGCATTAAGCGGATTTTCAAAATGAAAAATTGTTGAAATTGCAATGAGTGATAATGCTGCGACGCTTCTACAAAAAATAATTATTTTAACTCTCCCCCCCCCCCTCTTTCTTACGTGCTTAATTGAAATTTTACAAAATTTGTAATATTGTGATATATTCCCTTTCCTTCTTCAATTGCTGCTTTTATTGTACTAAAATCATCATTTATTAAAACCATATCAGCAGCTTCTTTACAAACATCAGTTCCTGATTCTCCCATAGCAACTGGAAAAAATAAAAAAAATTCTAGAAAAAATTTTAGAAAAATTAAAGGGAGGGAAGAAAAGAAAGCAAAATCGAAGTCTGAAATTATCTTTCTAGTCACCCTCAATCGCCATCATAATTTGAAAGGAACCACGAGTCCAAAGCGTATCCAAAGAGTCGATTTCAAAGGAGAGGGGGGGGGGCTTTCCCCTTTCCCCCAATTTCGGGGGAAGAGGGCTTTAATCCCCCCCCCTCCCAGCCCCTGGATACGCCCTTGCCTGAGTCGACCCAAATCACTAATCGACCCAAATCACTGGCCAGCAAGGGAGTATCCAGGGAGCCGATTTTGGGAGCTATGGGGTGCGCGCCAAAATTCTGGCATTCCAAACGCAATCCCCCTGGATACGGCCTTGCTGGCCATCTGATTGTGAAAGGTATAATTTACATAGCTGTTCAACTTCTAGTTCTCCTTAACGCGATCCTAATTCTAAGGAAACCTTGCCCCTTAATTCTAATTAAATCATGTTCATATTAGATAATTAAATTCTAAAGAAACCTCCAATATCAGATTTTTTAAGAGCAACAGCATCATTTACTCCATCCCCAGTCATTGCCACAACTTCTCCAATATTTTGAAGGGCTTTAACAATTCGTAATTTATGTCTAGGAGAAGCTCTATAAAATATTGTAACACTTTGAATAAGTTGTTCCAATTCTGAATCTTTTAAATCATCAATTTGAGGACCAGAAAGACAATTGTCGTTCTGTTTGTGAAGTCCAAGACGAATACCTGAAAGAATTTAGGTAATAAAAGAGGTAAGAAAACGACTCTAAAATTTTATTATTCTTTAAGCGGGCCATAATTAATTTTAGCAACCTAACAGGGGGAGAAATACATGATATTATCATAATAAAGTCCCTCCAATAGAATGATCGTTTTTGAATTATAAAAAATAAAATGAATTTATGCTAGTACTGAAAAGCATATATCGTTTGCTATTTAAGATAAGTACACCTCATTATGAGATTTGAGTCTTATATAAGCAGGATCCTGCATGACTGTTTTGCAAGATCCTAGAATTAAAATACAACCAAAATTAATTCTAAAAGATCCAAAAATAGCAGCCTTTCTATTAGAATAATAGCTAGGTTACTTAATCCAAAAAAGGTAACAAAACCCAAAAAATAACAAATATACCAATGCTTGTAGCAGTTTCCAGCCCATCGCCAGTCACCATTTTAACAGAAACTCCTGCTGATTGCACAATTTCTATCGATTGACGACATCCAGGTCTAGGAGGATCCAATATTCCAACAAGTCCAGCATAATAAAGAGAACGCATATCTGGACCTCTAGCCATTCCAATCACTAGAAATTTTGACTAAAAATTTTTTTTTCAAAAGAAAACCTCGAAGTCCAGATTGACCCAAACCACTAGCTGTTTGAATTATTTGATCATACTTCTCTCTAGTCATCTGCATTTTTATATTTCCATTATCCAAATAGCCAATACAGATATCTAGAATTTTGTCAATTGCTCCTTTTACCAATGTTTCAGCTTCGCCTGGCTAAAAAAATATTTTTTATTAGTATTTATGTATATAAAAGAGAAGTTAGAGGCAATTTCGGGTCATTTTCAAGTTTCTAGACATTTTATCTGCAATTTTCGTACTTTATATATTTTTTCATACTTTATATACCGCTACAAGTCAAGTTAAACGAGAGAAATCTCTCTAATTTATAGGAAAGTCTCAAGCGATCCGAAAAACCGAAAATTTTCTAAAGTAAATCGATGATGCTCTATCGATTGGTACCAAAAAAGTACAAAGTTTTGACTGACAGTTCGTGAGGCTTCCTCGTCAGGCACGTATCCAGAAGAAACCCCCTTCACCCATCTCTTTCCGGGCAATCCCGGAGAATTGGGGTTTCTTCGAAAAAAAAGTTTAAAAATAAGAAAAAGGTTTTTTCTAGGGTAAAAAAATATGCTGATTACGAATCTGAGCTCGGATTTTGAAAAAGTCGAATCCCGGACCCGAATTCGGAATTTGACCCCGGACATTGTCGGACATTGTACAAAATGGTCAGTCTTTCATATGCAGGTAGAACTCATCGAGATGCATCGAATGACACCAAAATCGATGAAATCCGACATGATTGGACCGAGATACAGACCCCGGAATATTGATAAACCAATGGGGTGATTTTTTGGAGTAAAAAAAGTTTGTGCAAATGATAACTCATTCGAAAGAGCTCGTCGAGCTGAGTCGAATGACACAAAAATTACAGTGATTCATCAAGTTTTGACAAGGTTATGACATAAGTCGTCGACTCCTGCAGTACTCCCATAGGTTTACTTTATGTCATAACTTTGTCAAAACAGGTCCAATCACGTTGATTTTGGTATCATTCGATGCAGCTCGATGAGCTCTTTCGAACGAGCTATCATTTGCATATTCGAAATCCGGGTTCAGGGTTCGAAATTTGGTTCGGGTCCGGGATTCGACTTTTTCAAAATCCGAGTTCAGATTCGTAATCAGTATATTTTTTTAACCTAGAAAAAACCTTTTTCTTATTTTTAAAATTTTTATTCGAAGAAACCCCAATTCTCCGGGATTGCCTCTTTCCGAATTCTTCTTAACCACGCTTATAAAAATTTTACGACGGAAAAAGAGGGTATTTTATTTTTTTTCTTTAATTAAAGAAACAAAAATTCTGACAAACCTTATTTAATTGTTCTACTTGAACAGCCATCCATTTACTATCAGAAGTGAAAGGTATTTCATGAAGACGTCGAATATTATTACACAAAGTATCCATATTTGTCTGAATTTGAAGAAAAAAAAATTTTTTCCTTCAACTTTAAAATTTTCTTACTTTCATCGCCAAAACCATTAAAGCTCCTTCTGTTGGTTGCCCAATAACTGTCCCATTTGCCAATTGTGCATTATTACATACACAGCCAATTTCAATGACACAAGCTATAGAAGGGTGACGTTCACTTCCAGAAACTAATTCGCCGTTTTGAAGACGACAATCCCCATCAGAAGGGTCATAACCAGTACCGGTTACCTTGAAAATTTATAAATTTTAAGGCTCCTTTCCTTATCGTCCATTTCAAAGTCAGCAAGTTTTATCCGCAAGTTATACTAATTTATCATAAAAGGACGATTATTGAACACTTATGTATCATCCATTCTAGCGCCTCATAAAAAGTGAGATAGACCGGGTAAAATTTATTTCATTCAATTTACAATTTAAATTCCCGACCAAGGAATTAAGTGGGTCTTCTCTCCCCTCATTTATACTTTAATAAATATATTTGTTAAAAAGAGGATTTTATTGTGAAGGTATTTTGGCGTATCCTATAAATTGTACAACCAACTCTAGCGGCCCAAAGCCACCAGCTTCGGTAGATTAAACGGGATTTATTAAAGAATATTCTGCTGAATAATTCTTAAAATATTCTAAAACTACGTCGACGCGCTTCTAAAGCCCTATTGCTTTCCTCTGACAAATGGTCAAAAATTGTCAAAAACGATCAAAAATGCAACGAACAGAAAATGAGGACTTTCTGAACTCAAAAAAAAAATTAAAATTTAAAAAAACCTCTGCATGACAATCATCTGCTGCAATAACAACACAAGCAGTCATCATATTTTTTGTAAGAGTTCCTGTTTTGTCAGAACAAATAACAGTTACACATCCAAGGGTTTCCACTGCTGACAATTTTTTAACTACAGCATTTCGATTTCCCATCCTCATAACACCAATAGCTAAAGTAACTGCTACAACAATTGGAAGACCTTCAGGAATTGCAGCAACAGCAAGACTAGAAAAAAGAGAAAAATTAAGTTAAAAAACAAACAGATTAGAAAATCGCTTTTTTACCTTTATGCAAACAAAAGTCCGCAAGTTTATAATCAATTTATACCCAATGATTGAAAATTTAAAATTTACTCCTAATAGTAATTATAGCAGTACAAGCCTTATAATTCTCCTCGCACACACCTAATTTATTTTCCGTACGTCCCTGCTCGTACTTTTCTTATCTTCTCCTCGTAAGAGAATTGTAAACAGGTACGAGCTTCCGAACTGTCATACTATTTATATTTTATATAAAAAGGATTATGAGAAAAGGGGACTACATTAGATGTATAAAATCAGCAATTCCTTTCTGAAATCAGCTACACGAAACCCGGACCTTTTTCGACCAAAACCATACCCCTAAACTAGAATCGACTTCTTTTACCTAACCTATCTCTACTTTCCATTAAAAAACGAAAGATACCTAACACCAATTGTAAACATATCCATTGCTGGCCTTCCTTGAATTAATCCAATAAAGAAAATTAGGCCAATAACCCCCAAAGAATAAAAAGACAATTGTTTTCCTAATTGATCCATACTGTTTTGAAGTGGGGTTTTTGGAGATTCCTCAGATTGCATTAATTGAAAAACTTCACCAAATTTCTGAAAAAATTAAGAGATTAAGACATTTTAATTTTTAAAATTTACCGAATTAGCTCCTGTGCCTATCACGACACCCTTAATTAAAAAATTGATTAAACAAAGACTTTTATGAGCTCTTACATATTTTCATTTCTTCCCTATTTTCTCTTTTGTTTTACCTCTAACAAGTACCTACTATTAGATAGAAGCCATCCATTCAATGAGATACATTGCAAAAAACTTCATAGCTTTATGAAAACATTTATAGTATACATTTTGGATAGTCATTCCACGAAGATAGAAAAACAAGGGTAGGAGAGAGGTAAAAGTCTAGCCCCGGACAGACATACTCCCAATAGCCTCCTGCCAGTGATTGGTGCTCATCAAGTAAGGTTGTGAGAATTTATATCTCGCTGCTTTCATCTTCCACTCTTTAACAGATCTAGAAACCCCTGTCTATCTTAAAAACTCGCATCTGTCCAGGTAGATCTCTCCTTCTTCCTTTCAAAAAAGAAAATAAGGAAAAATCAAAATAGAGCTCACAAAGGTAAAAATTCCACTAAATTAAAAAATTAAAAACCTTTCCTCTTCCAGAGCAAACCAAAGTCCCCATAAAAGCAATATTGTCCAAATGTTCAATCCCCCCATCACATTCAATATTACAATGTCCATTAACTATAATTCCATTTACATGGGGAGTTCTTGAATTTGCTGAAATTAAATTTGAATGTTTATATCTCGCTTCATTTTCCCCAGTAAAGGAAGATTCGTCAATTTGAAGTTGAATTGACTTTAAAAAAATTTTTTTCAAAAAGATTCTCTAAAAAACCTCAAGAATACGAACATCTGCAGGCACTCTATCACCCGTATTAAGCAAAACAAGATCACCTGGAACAAGCTCTTTTGCATAAAAAGTAACACTTTTTCCATCACGAATACTTAAATTAAAATATAGATTAGCCTTTTTTAAATGTTTGAAAATAATTTAAGATAATAAGATAAATCTGCAAAGAACCCAATTTTTTCAATTATAAATTATAATTTGTTTTTTTATTGAAATCAAATATGGACGGACGTAAATTATTAATAAAAATGAGGAAAGAAGGTCCAGCTTACTTTAAAATCTATTAAAAGAGAAGGTAAAATCAACACCTCATTAACTAATTGTTTTTTTATTGAAATCAAATATGGAAGTTTGGCCTGAACCGGAACTTTCGGAGAAACACTAATACCTGTCCGTGGTGAGTGAAAGCGTTTAGCAATGAACGCCACGGCTAAAAGTCCCCCAAGCAGGCGTACTCTGAGCCTCATAGCAGTTAATAAATGACAACTCTCAATACCCACCTAGCTACCTGGCGCTGATTTAACCTTCTTTCGATAGATATTAAAACCCTGCCTACTACAAAACAGCTGGATCTCCCTTCTCCTTACTCTACTATTTAACAAAAAATACCAATGTGCAGTTGGAGGCACAAGCCTATTCAGTTTCTCCAAAGTTTTCTCAGATCTATATTCCTGTACAAAACCAACAGTAACTACAATCATTACAGCAACAGTAATTGAAAGGGCATCATCAAATTGTTTCATAACAGTCGAAACAATTGCAGAAGAAAGAAGTAGGCAAATTAATGGATTTTTAAACTGAAAAAAGTGAATAAAGCAAGAGCGAATTTAGAAGGAAATTTTAGGGTTGGGCTTGATTTTTTAAATTTATTTTCGGTTGGGCAAGAAGCCGAAAAAGTCCTTTAGAATCGTAAGGAATTATGATTGTTTGATCATTATCCGCTCAAAAAATTTTTTCCTTTTTTCAAATTTTTTTGGGGGGATATTGAGAAAGATCTTGTAGCAAGATTGGCACCATGGACACCAAGGGCGTAGCCAGGGGGCCGATTTCAGGAGGGGTATAGCCCCAAAAGCACCCCTCTGGCTACGCCCTTGGGACACGCTCTAGTCCAAAAGTAAAGTAAACTACATGTTAGGCTAACACTAAAATAGAAATTAGAGGAAATATATTCTTAAGTGAGCATTGTCCTTCCCCCACTTAACCCCAAAAAATAAAAAATGGAGAAAATTCAAAAAAAAAAAGCGACGAACTTTTCGGCTCTTTGCCCACCGGAAAAAAATTACTGAAACAAAAAATATTCTCAACCTTTCCTTAAACCAAATACTCTATCAAAAACCCCCAAACCTGTTCAAAATATTTTCCCAAAAGAGATTCACTTTTCTTCACTTCAAATTCATTATATCCACTAAAACCAAGTCGTCTTGTAGCTTCTGCTTGGGAAAGTCCATTCTCCGGGTCTGCACGTAATTTTGCTACGCATTCTTCTGTGCTGCTACTAGACGCTGTATAAACGTCTAAAGCCTTAAATTTTTAAGAAATTATTTTTTGAAGTTTTAGTGTGGTTTACCCCTACAAAAATGAAAAAAATTTTAAAAATAAAATTATATTTGTGATTTGGTGGTAACGCAGGTACCTTCTCGTATTTTTCTATGGAAGTTAGAACCCTCATTAGGCACCGGGATAGGAGAGGAATCGAACCCCAATAGAAAAATAAAAATAGTCGAAGACATTACCACTACACCACAAAGGCACTAATTTGTAATGGCTAAATTAACTTATGTATATAATTAAGAGAAGGAACAGACAAATAAACAACCATAAAATTTTTTTAAAAATTCTTAAAAAACCTGAATCATTTCCTGTCCACTAACACTTTTCGATCCTTTTTTAGACGCAATTTTCTCTTTTTTATGAAGCGTTCTTTGTTTTCTTCCAATTAAAAGATGAACTTTTTCCTCTAAATTTTTTGGTGTAGAATTCAAATTATTATTTTTGTTGTTTAAAGTAACAATGCCTTCTTCCTTAGGCTTGCCCTAAAAATAAATAAATTAAAAAATAAAAAAATTTTTTTAAAAGTCGTGGCAAATTTTAATGTTAAAATCGAATGAAACAAAATGGTGCAAAACAAAAGGGCTCAAAGGGTAAAATACGACAAAATGACACTGTGTGTAAAAACCGACAAAATGACACTGTGTGTAAAAACCGACAAAATGGCACACGTGTAAATTGTGACAAAACGGTACTCTTGGTAAATTAAGACAAAATGGAACTTGTTAAAATAAGACAAAAATGTCACACGAAAGACACATTTTTGTTTTGTTTGTTGAACATTTTTTTAGATTAATAGTCATCTCTAAAATAGCCATAGTTTCCAATAAGATTGTCGCGTTTTCTCCTAGTTCCATTTTGTCTCCTATCATTTTTACTATTACCATTTTGAGGATTGCCTAATGTAAAAACAAAATAAACAAAACGCCAAATTTCTAATAAATCTGAGTTTTTTAAATATGAAGGTACATCAAATTTAGGGTTGGGGGTCCGGTCCGAAAGTTCGAGTCGGGCATCGAATTTTGGCCCGAAAAAGACTAGGTCGGGCCGGCCAGACAAAAATGAGGCCTAAAAATGACTCGAACGTCGGCCCGACTCGAAAACCCCAACCCTAATCATATTCCTTCGGATTCCTCTCAAGCACATTAACTCATTCTTCTTTGCTTCAAACAAAGTCGGAAACCCTTGCCCCAAATTCAAAGAGAATTGTGTAGTCAGCGCTCTTACCCACTTAACCAGAAAAACTCCTCACCTCATTCTCAAGCATAAAATAATTAAACCCTCCTCACCTCTTTCGGATCACTTTTTATTTTTCGTCTCGAAGAACTTTGTTGATCATTTTTATCATTTCGAGTCTTAGGCATTTTTTTTGCAAAAATAAAATTAATTTAATTATTTATTTACTTAAAAATTTTTATTTCCTGTTTTTTTAATGTTAAAAGAAATTTTTGTTTGTTATTTGGGTGATTTTAAGGGGAAAAGTCACAAAAATAGTTTAAACATATTTATTAATAATCATCTCTTTTTTGATAACAACAAAATTTATTTTCTTTTTTCTTTTGTAAATTTTTAGGAGGTAAAAGAAAGGGGGTATTGACGTCAGCAAAAAAAGCAAAATTAAAATTATAATAACAAAAAAAAGTTTATTGAGATTGATAATCATGTCGATAGATGATTGATAAAATATTAATTTTTAATGATTAAAAATTGTAGAGAAAATTTTCTAAAAACAAATTTTTTTATTTTCAATCCACAAAAAAATTTAAAGAAAATCTTAAAAATATCCCAATTTTTTCTTTCCTTGTCTTGTAAGTGGATATTGGAGAAGCTAGTACACGACGTACCTAATATATTTTAAAGACCTTAAAGGAATTTTAACAGCCTTGGGATTTTTTCCTTTTTGATATGATAATGAACAAACAAATTTAGTTAATTAAACGATGAAGTAATTTTGTTGGGACCAGCTCCATGTGGATTTTAAAGACCTTAAAGAAGAAAAGGATTTGAAAAATGAAGAGAGGATTGTGCTAGCTTAGAATCTATAAACTACTCAAAACTCACCATCTTCATTATTGCCACCATTAACCACCGCCAACACTAATATATGAGAGAAGATTATGCCCCTTTAAAACAGTTTTTGTCTTCTCTGAATTATCTGGTTTTTTCTAGGTCTAATCACGATTTTTTTACTCCACTAGTTCAAAACATTTATTTTTCAGTAGTTTTAAGTTGTTACAAATAAAATGCGACTACGTAGTCAATCCCCATATGCATTTATTAGATTCAAAACGTACAAAAATCTCGAACAATTAAATGGGGGCAGTGGATTTTATTATTGGAAATGAGAATCTACATTTTCAAGTTTTATTTTTATAAATTAAGCAATTATTAATTAGCATTGCGAGGCTAAGAGAATCTGGATATCGAAAATAGGTGACAACTCATTAAAAGCTGACAAGATTAATTTAAAAAATTAAAACCTGAACGTATAGAGAATGACCATTTCCATCTTGAATCCAACGCTTCTCATTGCCAATAATCATAGACAATGCTCCTTCTAGTTGTTCCAAATTTTTGTATTGACAAAATCGAGTAAACGAATAAGGACTTTGGCTACGACGTCTGTGCTGCATATTAAATATAAATATAATTTGTTTAATTAGCAAATAAATACTGAAAATTTGAGGTTTTAAACAAAATAAGTAATTCAAAATAGAAAAAACTAGGAAATACCAATAATTAAAACCTCAAATTTTCAGTGTTTATTTGCTAATTAAACAAATTATATTTAATATGCAGCACCGACGACGAAGCCAAAGTCCTTATTCGTTTACTCGATTTTGTCAATATAAAAATTTGGAACAACTAGAAGGGCTTTAACTATGATTATTGGCAAAGAGAAACGTTGGATTCAAAATGGAAATTGTCATTCTGATCGACATAATTTTATCTATACGTTTAGGTTTTAATTTTTTAAATGAATCTTGTCAGCTTTTAATGAGTTGTCACCTATTTTCGATATCCAGATTCTCTTAGCCTCGCAATGCTAATTAATAATTGCTTAATTTATAAAAATAAAACTTGAAAATGTAGATTCTCATTTCCAATAATAAAATCCACTGCCCCCATTTAATTGTTCGAGATTTTTGTACGTTTTGAATCTAATAAATGCATATGGGGATTGACTACGTAGTCGCATTTTATTTGTAACAACTTAAAACTACTGAAAAATAAATGTTTTGAACTAGTGGAGTAAAAAAATCGTGATTAGACCTAGAAAAAACCAGATAATTCAGAGAAGACAAAAACTGTTTTAAAGGGGCATAATCTTCTCTCATATATTAGTGTTAGCGGTGGTTAATGTTTGCAATAATGAAGATGGCGAGTTTTGAGTAGTTTACAGATTTAAAGCTAACACAATCCTCTCTCCATTTTTCAACTTCTTTTTTCTTTAAGGTCTTTAAAATCCACCTAGGACTGGTCCCAAAAAATCTACTTCATCGTTTAATTAAGCAGATTTGTTGGTTCATGATCACCTCAAAACGGGAAAAAGAACCCCAAGTCTGTTAAAATTCCTTTAAGTCTTTAAAATACTCACCTCCAATATCCACTTCCAAGAGACATCACAACAAAAATAAATATAACAATAAAATACTTCTTTTAATTAAATCAACCCCTCTTCATTTCGAATATATTCACCCAAATCTGATTGGTGTAAAACAACTAAAGCTGTAGGATCTGCTTTCTTACAAGATACTGTTCCCTTTGCAGCCACACCAAAACCTAACGGCAAATCTGACATATTGTAGACAATAATTCCCTGAAAATAAATCTTTAAATTTAATCAACTGGGAGAGAACTCAATCTCTAAATATATATTTGTCTTATTTTAAATAAAAACCCATAAAGTGAAAAACCCCTTTCCCTATAAGTATTTCCTTCAGGTTGCCTTTTACTTATTTTTCTTTTAATAAAAAAGGTATTTGTTAAATATATTGAGAGCTCTCCATAACGTTGTCCCTTCTCACGTCACTTCCCTTATTGCGTGAACTCAATTAAATCCCAAGGAGTTCCAGAGATCTCATTGTATTACTCAAATACTAACATTTCTATTTACAGTCTAATCTCGATAACATGTCTCCGGCGAGACCTAAGTGAGCAGACATCAATAGAGAGAAGTGCTAACAAGGGTATTAACTGGGAAGTGTTATCGAGATTCTATAGTATTAAAAAGAAGTCCGCAAAAGTGGTCATCCCAACCCCTACAAGTTCTCCTACAAATTTACTAATTTTTAAAAACCTGTTTCTCTTCAATTCCCTCGCTCATTCTTCCAACACCAGATTTAACAATATTATTTCCATACAAAAATTGTTGTTCAGCTTGTGGTTTTAACCAAATTTTTGCCAAAGCATAGGGCGCCAAATAATCCAATGCCGTTATATGAAGAAAGAAAGAACCTCCTTTTGTGAATTTGCCCAAACAAGTTCCAAAAGACCCCAATTGTTTACGTCCAATACATGCTGCTTGTCTCATTAATTTTTCACTAGAAAAAAATTTTTTTGTAATTGGTTGGATTAAATTGGTAAATCGAAAAATAAAGATCAAAAACAAACATCGTTTAATACCCCCCCCCCTTTACTCTAAATTTTCGTTTATTCTTGGTTAAAATGGTTATTTTTTGATTTTGAAACTACGTATTGGGTTCAAGCCCATCCCGTTACCTATTGGTACTCTTTTTAATCTGTTATAGGGACACGCTACGAACCAAAGTTAGTAACTAAAACCCAAAAAAATAAAAAGAGAAAACTGGGGCTCTCAAACTATGGTTAATAAAAACACAAAACTTGATTTCTATTTTTATTTATTTTTGGTTTTAAAAGAGTACCTTAAAAAAGTACCTAACAAAAAGAGTACCTCCCAACAAGAATGTCACAGATACCAGAGGTGGGTCGGAATTCCGATTTCCGAAAAAATTTTAATTTCCAATTTTGAGCCAGTTTCAATTTCCTGCTCTTAAGAGTTAGACATCTGACAGTTGCGACCCACCTCTGTCCAATACCCGATCCGAAATCCTACCCACTTTATCTACCCGTAATAGAACGAGTCCATATTATATTATACTCAAAATTCAATAGTAATCCCATTAAATCCTTTGTATCCCCTTATTTTGTGAGAGCCCTCTATTTAGAATCAAAACAAAAAATAAAAACCTGCAATAATAAACTCTATCTTTATGTAATCTAAAAACATATTCTCCATCTTCCCTTTCCAATAAAAGTTTAATGTTGTCACCAATATAATTTGAAAGCTTTTTGAAAAATTTTTCAGTTTCTTCGTCTGTCAGAGGGCGCATATTTTTCCAAAAATAAGTATTTTTTAGCTTAAAATAAATTTAAAAAATAATTTAAAACCAAAAGAAAATATAAATATGTTCTTAAACAATTTAAAAAAATCTTTTTTAATTTGAAAGATTTTATTTTTTTAATTTTAACAAAAGTTCGTTGTAAAAAAATAAAATACACATAAATGAATTTAATAAAATAAAGAGAAATATTTTGGTTTTAGAGAATGGAAAACCAACGGTTAAATGAAAGGGAAACTGAATGGAGTCGAACACAAAAAAAGACAAACATATGATAAAGATCAGCCGGAAAAAATAAGAAACCGAATCGGACTCTAATTAATTTCCAAGGAACAATCTCTAAAATATTTCCTCTATTTTAGGTAATGTCGAAAAAATCACATCAAATACATTCATAAATATACAAAAAATATATTAAATTGATGTTGGTTAAATGCCATTTAAAAAATTTGGTAAAAACAAGTCAATATTATTAACCCTTCAAAAAATTATTCAAAAAAGCTTTCTAAAAATAGATTTCTTAAAAATTAATTATTGACATTAATACCAAATGATCCCATTAACTAATCTCAAACTAAAATTTCCCCATTACAGTCAGTCCATACTTTTAAGTCCCACCTCTATTTAAGATACACTCTTAAAGACAATGGATGGTGGAATTGCCTAAGAAATACCCTCTATTTAAGCTACACCTAACTTTCCATAACTATTCAATCCTAGAATTATTGGGATGTGGATTCACACGTGGATTCACAAACGACATTCCAATAATTCTAGGATTGAATAATTATGAAAAGTGAGGTGAAGCTTAAATAGAGGCTATTTCTTAGGCAATTCCAACACCCATTGACCTACCAAATTTTATAAGAGTGTATCTTAAATAGAGGTGTATATTTAATATCGGAGGGTACTTAAAAGTATGGACTGACTGTGTTAGGAATTTTAGTTTGAGATTATGACAGTGTACATTCTATAAAAATACCTATCAACTTTTAATAATATCATTATCCGTCTTATTATTTTGCATTACTTCGTTTGAGTTGTTTTTCATCAAGTCATTTAATTGTTGTTGTTCCCAATCATTTGTATACAATTTATTTTCAATAATATATTCTACAACAGAATCAGGAGTACAATAACGAATTGAACTTTAAAAAATTAAAATAATTAAATTATTTGGTCGTTAAAATGGCGAGAAGGTGTATCAAAAGATATTTTTAAATTATACTGACAAAAATCTTTCAATCTTCCAGGGCCATTGTCACCAAAAAATTAAAATTATAGAAATAACGGGAAGAAGAAAAAAATTTTGTGTAGAACCAAAAATTGTCTCTAGTCTTGCAAATTTTTGATGTTAAACAGCCCAAGGAAAATTTTTTTCCAAAAAAATAAATAAATTTTTTATTAGAGTCCAAGATTATAACCCAAGACTAACGCAAGGCACCGAAATTTTACAAAACTAAAGACAATTTGTTGCAACTGAAAATTATGAAAGGCCAAGAAGCCAAATTTATTATTTTTACGGAAAAGTTCCATGGAAAATATCGGATTTCTAATCGGGATTTTGAAAGTTTCTCGGATCGGGTTTCGAGTCAAAAAGAACACAAGTTTCAGTTAACCCAATCCAGTCCTAATTAGCACAAAAATTGCGGAAATTATCTACATAATTTATATAGAAAAAGGGCCCCACTCTCCGCCAAGAAAGAACCAAAAAAGAAAAAAATCCAAACCGTCCAGCCCGTGCAGCTATCCTCAATTTTGTACTGCTAATTTCATTAGGAAAAGTATCTTCTTCAATTATAGCCACGTTATCCAAAAGTGAATGTAAAAATTCCAAGTCCTCAGATTTTAATGTTTTGTTAGCTGTTGCCCCACGCCTTTCAATAATTATGAGGCCATATTGAGTTAAAATTTGTTTTAAATGTTCAATACTCCAAAGCCTTCCAGTTGAACTTGTTGGGTCTTTACGAGTGAAAGAATCGACTAAATCAGCTCCACATAAAAGAATTAAACGAAGTTTTTGGAGATTTGAATATCTTTAAAAAAGCATTTTTTTAATTAAATAAAAATATAGGCCAAGGAATTAGCCGATCCGAAGCCAGAAATTCCCGAATATTTTTGAGTCGGTAATTTGTTTTTATGTCGGCTAGATCACTGATATATGAGATCGGCAATTAAAAAAAACAGATTCTTGATCTCGAGTCAAGATAAAATCCAGACCAAAAGAAAAATCAAGTAGGTTCAAATCTAATTCCCTAGACTTTACTCCATTGTTGGAAAAAATGAATAAGTATCTTATTGTATGACTCACAAGGGAACCTACATATCGATATGTGAAATTTCTTTTAAATCTTTGCCAACAAATCAACGAGAGAATACAACAAAATCAAACACGGACTTTTTGCTTTAAACGTCCAGCCTTTTTAATTTACCTATCTAGGGAAGAAAATCATAAACGAGAACTCAGCCCTACTTTAAAACAAAATAAACGAAAAAGCATAAATTTCACATAAAATTCAAAGACTCCCGTCATTAAAAATCGCTTAAATTTAAAGAAAAAACCTGTTAAGCATCTGCATATTATGATATTTAAGAACTTCCAATGTTCGTGTCCATCCTTCTTTCCTTTGACATTCCCAGCCATCTGCTCTAATCCAATCACTAGAACTTGTAGCCAATTGAGACATACGTAAACGATGAATTGATGGCGCTAGCGAAGGCTTTTTTGATTTGAAATGGTCAGAAACGGGGCTGATAATTCCATCAAGGACGTTACATTTACATTCCTGAAAAATAAAATTTTGCAAAAAATGAAGAATTGGGGAAGCCATTGAGTAAATTGCGACTAGAAATGAGCCTGATTGAAAAGAAAGTCAAGTTAAATTTTCGAATTTTTTTAAAATTTCGTGTCGAAAAAGTCAGTGGTTCTGGATCAGTTAAAAATCTGAATTCAGCTAGAACTTTCGAGAAAAGGCGAAACTTTAGCCTATGAAAAGCAGGGATGTGCACGACCAGTTAATATTCGCCAGTGGCGGCTCAAATGCTTACTATTTGACATTGGCTTCCACAAGCGGATAACTAACCGACGTGCATAAAACTATTGAATAATTAGACTAGATTCTTCCTTTTATGAAAATTTCCATGGAGAGCCGGATTTTGAATTGAAAAATGTCAGGTTCGGACAACCCAGAACCTCACTTAAATGTGGAAAGATTTATATCTTGTAAGGCTTCGGACTATTCGGCCCATCCATGCCCATAAAAATCAAAAAATTAAACAAACCTGTTGAAGAAAATCTTTTGCCCTTTCAAACATTCGAAGATGTAAATAAGTTGGAGGATTAAAAGAACCACAGAGAATCAAAACAACATTAGAGCCTGCCAAAACACGAGCATTCATTCTCTATTTTAATTTAAAATAGATTAAAAATAAATTTTAAAAGAATAAAAATGATTAAAAAACATTTGATAATCCAAAAAATTTTTTTCAAATTTTTTAATCAAAAAAATAAATGTTAAAAATAGCCAAAAGAAAGACAAAAAAAAATGAAAGAAATTATAAGTGAAGTACTGAAAATTTTCTGAAAATTTTTTTAAAATAAATTGTGAGGCACGTGAGAGATTTCTTCCAAAAATATATGTAAGGTAATACCTCCAAAAATAATGTTAAAGGAAAAAGAGAAAGGATACATTTTTGAATTGAAATTTTGTCTAAAAAATATTTTTAAAAATTTCCATAAATTATTCTAGTCACACTTTCTCTTTCCCTCTCCAATGAAAATATTTTAAAAAATACATAAAATTAGACAGTTTGGTTTTTTATAAATAATTTCCTCATAATTCAATATCTTCAATTGATGCAATCAATTCATTGTCATTAATTGCTTGTCGCGCTAATGACATTTCAACCTTTAATAAGTTTTAAAATTATTCTGGAGAAAGTGAATTTTTAAGCTTTGTTGATAAAATGGTGGTGTCGGAAAGGAGGAAATTACTCATGTCAGTCAGAGTTTTTCGGGTTTGATTTTTATTCAATTACTCATTTTAATTAGTAAATGAGTCATTAACTCCTTTATTAACCCATCATTAAAAAATTATTTTTAAAGAAACTCATTAATAAAATCTTCACAAAGTAAATACTTTTTCTTTCTCTGACAGCGAAAGAAATTCTATAATCATCACATTAGCGTTGTCTCTCTGAAAACTATTTTCAAACCCTATCCGTCACCATCAAAACCTCACTATTTAACAAAAAGTTCAGCTCTAGATCCGAAAATTCAGAAATTTCAATAGGGGCCACCTAGCTTACTTGTGGTTGCTAACATAAATATTTTTAAAAATTACTCAATAATTTCATACCATAAAACAAACTCTTTGTTGTTTATTTTTTCCATTAATTGGTTTACTTAAAGAAATTATAGCTTGAGATTCCAACACTTCATAAGCATTATCCAATTCATCTGTAGCTAAAGGTTGAAGCATCAACTTTTCGCAAACAAGTAAATAGGCTTGAAAAAGACGATCGCGAGTTACACTTGAAGAATCAAATTGAGAATTCTAAAAAATAAAAAAATTTTTAATGACACAATGTTAACAATAAGTAGGGTTGTCGATTCTTGGAAAAAATCCTGATAACCGAAACCGAACCAAAAAATTCTCGGGTCTTCGAGGCTTGGTTTCGAACCAGCAACCATAATGCCAAGAGGTAATTGTTAAAATTTAGTATTTAAAAATTAGGATTCTTCAAAAGCAAGTTTTAAAACAAATATTCTTGTAACCGCTCTAATCAAAAGTAAAATCCGAAAATTAGATTTTCGAGAACCAAGGGTTAATAGTCGGTTTTGAACAGACTAGGACATGGATACGGATTTTGGTATTCGTATATTTACGGCGGATACAGACGGATACAGGCGGATATCCGCAGGCATTTTGGTATTATCTGTATCCATATCCGTATCCATAACCATGTTTGGTTTTGAACCGTCCTAAATTAAACCTAAAAAATACTTCCCTTTAAGTTAAAAACACAACAACCCTAAAAAATCTAATAAAAAGAGAAAAAACCTGAACAGATTTGCCATTATTTGTAGAAAATAAACGTTTTGGAGTTCGATTCAATCGAGTAGGCGTCGCGAATTCTGATCGTTTTGGTGTTCGCGGAGGTGTATGAAAAGGTGAAGAATCTGGCGCTACAAGGACCTTTTCAGTGTCGGAAGAAATTAATCGCATTAATGTAGCCAATAAAATACGTGGATGTTGGGGAAGTTTGGAACGTTGGCAAGGTGAAGCCATTGTCTAAAAAATAAAAAAAATTAAATTGGTACAAATACAAGGAGGAAGTCAGAGGGTCGGGTTTAAATGATAAAAAATAAATAGAATACGGCTATAAATAGAATACGTGCTAGACGTTTGGCGTTTCGTAATAAAATTTTTCTGTATTTATATCGCAGGATATTTTAATTTTTTAGCACTACACATGAAAATATAGAAATTTTGGAAGACCACTAACGAAAAATTCGGATTTCGATCCTTCTCAAAATATTATTGCGAGGAAAAAGTGAAAATTTCCCCATTTCGGGAAAAAGAGGGACTAACGGGAACTTCCTAGGTCGGGATTCCCAAAAGGGAACTAGGTCGTTCGCCGCTAAAATAAGAAGTTGGGGTTAAGGGTCTTGATGAGGTATGTCTTAATCCCAAAGATTAAGACAGGGCAATTCAAACGAGGAGGCAAAGGGTTTTAGACGGCCAAGTTTAGACGTAGACGAAAGTTAGGCGAATATTCCCAAAGAATATTAACAAAAGAACAAAGAATATTTTAATAATATTTATTTAATTTAATACAATTTTACAATTATTTGTGTGTATGGAAAAGGTGGTTGGAATTGGTAAGGATAAGGAATGATTCAAGGAAAAGCTATACTGAATGAACGAATGTTGGTGTAAGGGGAAAAAATTGGCTTAAATAGAACATTTTCAATGTGTGTGGTAAAAAATGTGGGGCAATGGCAAAAGTGGAAAACATAGAAAAAATCATGTTTTTAATAAAGTTGGGCGGAAATGCACTTTCTCCCTTTTTTCCCTGTTGGATAAAATTATTAATAATTTTTTAGATTGGAATTTAAGATAAAATGGATAATTTTATCCATTTATGGAAAAATGAGAGAAAGAGCAAAGTAGGCGATAACGATCACTAACAAGTGATGTCATACAAAAATAGGAACGGAAAAATTAATAATTTTATTAATTTCATCCTTCGACGAAAATTCAAGAAATTTTCGACATTGCCGCGAGCAGGCACATCAGTGGGTCCTTAGTTGTTAAAGTTATGTTGATTAGTCGATTTAAAGTTTTAGTCGATATTCCATTTGTCGATTTTGCATTTATAAATTTTGTTGTTAAGATTTGGTTTTAAGATTTGATTATTGTTTGATGTAAATTTTTAAATTTATGATGTTTCACCACGTTCTTTTTATTTTTAATTGATTGGCTTCGCCAATAAAATTAATTTGTGAAGATGCTTTTTGATGATTACTTTTTTAATTATTAAAATTTGATGATTTTGTTGTGATTTTCTTTTGTTGAGTTTTGACGTTAAAGGTTTAGACGTTAAGGTTTAGACGATATGTTGACCATTTGACGAGGACCCATTGTTGATGACATTTGATGTCCATCCATTCCAAACATTTGAAAAAATTACAAAAAAATGAAAATAAGGTATTGAGGGGGAAAATTACAAAACGCATGAATGAGGGAAAGGAGGAGATAAAAGGAAAGATAGATTATAGAAAAATTTAAAAATTTTCTTTACTAGTGTCCACCATTCCAACTCCATGAGGTTGAAGGTTGTTCACATGTTGAAAGTTGCTGAACAAGTTCAATGGCCTCATTGATGTCATCTCTGGTCTTTGTAAGCGTGGCGATAATTTGTTGACGCGTTGCTTCAGTTATAACATAATTTTGACGAGGTTGTTGATCATCTTGACGAGCTCCGTTACGTTTTGCCAATGGTGTCGGAATAACAATCTCCAAATTTTGTAGAGGGAAATAACTGTTGTGGTCGTATCCCATTTTCCAAGGAATAAATCCTAGACGTTGACGTTGGCGAGATTGGCGTGATGTTCCACGAATTCCACCCATTTGTCGTAGCACGGGGAGATGTGGTTCCCTGATTGGTCGTCCCTTCATCTGCCAGTGTTGTGCCACTGTTTCTCCTGGCTGAACAAGTAGCTTCTGTGCTGGCTTATATGTGATGCAGTCCCAATCCGTTATGTTGTTGCCGTTGGTGTGGTCACGTATCATTAATCCTCTGAGTTGACGATTGATTCTGTCAATTGTTGCGACGGTTTTCCACCAATTGTTTCCAAATCGGCTTGCTAAATATTCATCTAGACGTTCGGTCACTTCTTGGCGTTGACGATTTCCGTTTTGACGAGAATAAGGTGGTGGAGATACTTGACGATTGTAAGGCGGTGGATTTGACGCATGGCGATTACGAGGAGGTGATGGGGTTCTAGGAAATTGCGGTTCCATTTGACGATGACGGCGAGGTGTTCCAAAACCTCCGTTGTCGAATGGTGATGATGGACGTGAAGACATTTTCAGTTCGACGTCGACGATTAGAAAGTTGTTATTAAATGAATGGATTTGTGTTGATTCCAAATTAATATTTATATTTTTAAAAATAGGCGTGTTGGTAATAATAATTTCCCATTGGAATGTTGATTGAATATATTGATAGGCGATTGGAATTTTATTTCTCTTTGCTGTTATGAGTATGATGTCACACTTTCGTTGCTCACTTCTATAAAACGTGTGTGGTCCAGTTAGTCGTTTGGAATTATTTTCCTTTTTCTGAAGGGAACATCCGGCCGGCCACACAGAAAGTGCAATAATGACGATTGGAATGTAAAATGTTGAATTGACAGGTAATATCGGCGCAAATCTTTTTTGGCGTTTCTGTCGGTAAAATGGTCGAAAGGGTTTTGGCGTATGTAGATAGACGGTTCGAATCATCAGACATATTATACTAGTCGAAACAACGGCAATTCTAAAGAGATTCCATCCAAATGTATATTTCGACGATATAGGCGCAGGCGAAATTCGTTCGGGTTTGTCGATTGCTATTATATTGACTGCTTGAACTTGAACAAAAATTGCCAGGATGGTAATCGTTCTAGCCATTTGTCGATAAATTCGAAATATAGGCGATAGTCGCATGAATAGGTAGACGGCAAGTAAAGCAAGTCCAATTGACGTTATGATGCCAAGAAAAATTGGTCCTCCTTGAAGGAGTTTGCCGATTACCCATAAGTCGAATCCAAAATCAGGCCAAAAACTGAAAGTTTCGGGATCCAAAATAAGTTGTTTTGATCGATGTTGTTGATGTCCCCATTGTCGTCGCAAAGGAATATAATAAAGGCTGCCGTTGAGGATGAAGTTGGTTTCTCCAGCAGGGCAATCGACGGTACAAATAGTGTTGACATCTGCGTAGTCGATAGGGATTAATTCCTTTCCAAGGGTTCCATTTGTCGAACAATGGGCGACGAATAAAGTCCCATCTTCACATTTGACAGTGGCTAAGACGTTGGCGTTGTCTGATCTGCATCTGTAGGTTATTTGCGCTCCGGCACCGCATCTATAACATCCATGTAGTCGAGCTTCATCCATGAAACACTTTGAATCACGAAGTTGAAGATGTAGTGCTAGGCTTTTCATTTGAAGATGAATTTGAATAGGCGCATAGACGTATGTTGCTGAAACTGATGGTCCGTTGTTTTCCAGCCATACTTTTGCTCTGGTGATTGGTAGTCGAGTTTCTGGATTTTCCATCATTGCGTCGAGGTCCACATCTCGGCAACTGCACTCCACTGTTCCGTCGTTGTGGTTCGGGAAGCATTCTTTGCAGGCATCTTGGTCGAGTGAACAGTTTAAAGATCGAGCTGCTTCCTCTGTTGCACAGTGTAGATCAACAGGTAGTCGACTGACTATTGAGACGGTTTGTCCATTAGTGACGAATGTTGAACCAAGTACTGGCATAGGCGGAAGAGAGATTGCCAAGGGTGTGATGGTGATGTTGCCCCATGATGACGTGATGCCAGGATGTAAAATGATGGATTTTGTTCGTCGTTTGCCGCCATTAGTTTCTAACATAAGTTCGACGTCCATTTCCGGGCTCCAACTTGGGCAAGTGAACACTTCAAAGACATTTGAACTTGTTGGTCGAGCAAAATATCTGTAGTATAAACATGCTGATGTTGGTAGTCCGCAACTGTTGCCCCAAAAACTTGTCGATGGAATGCAGAAGGTGTTGCCGGGTAATTCTCGTCCAACTTGTAATTCCTTGACGTAACTGTTTGGTCGGACATTTTCACAATGGTCGTTAAAACATGAGCCAGCTCGAGGGCATCTTTTGACGGCTGTTGGTTCGACGCGGTAAGAACGTAACCAGGCGATTGATTGCTGATGGCAAGCCATTTTCAAGGATGTTAGACGCATTGACAATGTGCCAAGGGTTAAACCATGTTCATCGCGAAGAAGCAATGTGTTGACTTGGCCAGCAGGTAATAGTGTAAGTGTGTTGGCACTATTGACGGTACAAGTCAATCCTGTCGTCCCTCTTAAACAGCTTTCAGTTTGAGTTGTGATTGAAATTACTGCCATAGTCGGAATTATGATTGCCGTGATGCTTGCTGCAATAAATAAGATGGTTGAAAATTTCTTCCTCAATTGGTGTCCTGGACGATGTATGTTTCTTAGTCGGTGGTATAATTTCCTCTCGGCGGAATTTATTTGTCGTTTCCAGGCTTCTTTGTCTTTCTTGCAAATTTTGTTGAACATCCAAAAGAAAGGATAACTTATTGTTGTTAAACTATTGACGATTAACTTGACGATGATGCGCATTGAACTGAAGACGGTGATGAAGCAACCAAATAAACTGCTGAAGGCAAAGATTCCTAATAAGAGCAGGAACGTAGCCCATTTGACGTTGCAAGTTGGATTGGCGAGTTGTTCGAGACAAAAGTAGCAGTCGATTAGGTCACATTCATTTACGGCTGGGCAATTAATCTTCTTTGTTATACTGTTGACGGAATTTTGCCAGAACCATGCTTCGCATTCATAGTCGTTAATGATGATTTCGGCGGTGAGTTCATAAGTGTACTCCTTCATGTCGGTGTGGTCGATACAATTCTTCATACAACAAACTGCAGTCTTCTGAACTTCGGGTGGTGCTTTGACGATTACACCTTTATTCGAGCATTGGAGTTGGCAATTCTCACACTTGTATTCGTAGAGGGAAAGTGCTGAAGCAATTGTCGAATAACTTAGAAGACATGAATAGTCGTATTGTCCGCATCGATACCATGGTGTTGTCGTTCCAAA